CCCACACCGGGCTCTTTGACACCGTTCGCCGGCTCCATGGGGTACCAACTACCAATAGTAGCGGCGGAACACCTTCAATTAAGGGGGGGGGGGGGCACTGCCGACTTTTGGTCCCATTCTTTCCATGCAACGCCCATAGGGCTAATGTTAAAATGCCCAAATCAAAGGGGGGCACGGTGCCCCGGTGCCCTCCCCGTTCCGCCGCCTATGACTACCAAGCAAGCTCGCCTGGAGGTCCCCCACCGTCTCTTGGCGCCCGAGTAGCCTCGATGCCTGAATAGGGCCCCCGAGACATCGACCTTGGCCAAAAAGCGTTCGTGTAGGCCCTCAGAAACTGGTGTGAGCCCTGAGATTACTGTGTGGGCTACTCAGGCACTTCTGTCGGGTCATCATGCATCGATTTGGGTCCGAGCTAGTGAGGGTTATCAGAAGCATCCTTTAGCCCTGCGACTTTAGAGGTTGGTGTGAGATCCTAAAAAAGAAAGTGAGGGCACTCCGAGGCTTGCAAAGGGCTTTTCCTCGGAGGTCGGCCTTGGCCGAACGGCGTTCCTCAAACTGGTGTAGGGCGCTGAGATTACTGAATGGGACTCTCGAGTATTGGCATGGGGCCCTCAGCTATCAGCACGGAGCCCTCAGGAGCCGGTAAGGGCTCCTCTGCGGCATGCATATTGCATAAGCCATCCGATCTCAGAGGCTGGTGTGAGATCCTAAACAAGAGCTGAGTGCACTTAAAAACCTGCCTAGGGCCCTCAGAGAGCAGCTTTGACCAGACGGCGGTCGTGGACGCCCTTAGAAACTGACGTAGGGGCTGCCTCAGTCGGTCGGCCCTCTCACATCAGCCTGGGGATCTCAGGAATCGGCCTGGGGCCCTCAAGAGCCGGTTAGGGCCCTTGGAAAGTGGCATTATACCCTGAGATAGCTGTGTAAGGCCCTCGGGTAACGGCTTGGGGCCCTCGGGCATCGGCCTGCGCCCCCGGGCATTGGCCAGAGGTCCTTGGATATCGGTCTGGGGGCCCTCAAGAGCCGGTGACTGGTGAGGGCCTTCAGAAACTGGTATGGGGCCCTGAGATAACTCTGTGGGCTTTCAGGTGCTGATGCGGGACCCTTAGGCATCGGCCCCAACAGGGTGTTAAGGAGGGCAGGGGGCAGGGGCCCTCAAGAGCCGGTTAGGGCCCTCAGAAACTGGCGTGGATCCCTGAGCTAGCCATGTAGGTACTCAGACACCGGCGTGGGACCTTTAGACATCGACTTGGGGCCCTCGGGCATCGGCCTGGGCCAGAGGCGGATCCAGCTCAGAGGTTTGGGGGGGGGGCAAACCATAAAAATTTATCGATTCTTTCCATGCATCGTCCATAGGCGTAATGTTAAAATCATGCCGTTTGGGGTGGGGGGCAAATGCCCATTTTGCCCCCCCCCCTGGATCCGTCACTGGCCTGGGCCCTCAAGAGCCGGTGGGAGCGCTAAAAATGGCGTGGGTGGGGTTCTGAGATAACCCCTGAGATAACACTAGAACCTGTTCAGTGTTCACGCCTTCAGGCACCGGTGCGGGACCATCAGGCTCGCGCTGGGGCCCTCGAGAATCGGCTTGGGACACTCAAGCGCCAGGGCCGCATGGGCCCCCACAACGATCTGTGGGTGTGCAAAAATAGGTGTTTGCACACCCTCAGGATTTTCAGGGTGTGCAATTGCACACCCTGCCCCCCGGAATCCGCGGTCCCTGAATTCGACAGGTGCGGTGTTCTGATATTGCGGTGGATGTGATTACACCTACTTGAATAATAGCTCAGCCGTTTAAAGTATGTTAAATGCTAGATAGTTTTCTGATTGTTCTTGCTTTGAGCTTTCATGTGCTATCACTTTTACCTCAGTGTCTAGTCTGGAAGCTATTTGGGAGAGCCCTAAAGGTAAGTAACAATTGCAAACTGCTTCTAGAATGACTTAGTTGCGCCATATTTGTAGTGAAGCGAGGTAAAGGAGACAGAGGATTCCTTTATAAGGGACATTTAAGAGACAAATAGGGGAAGATTAAGGGAACCCTATGTAAACACGGTTACCGTTAGCTAAGCCAGATCAAATCAGCTAAGCCACTTCACCTCGTGACAGAGGGCTTGGCCTCGCCTCGTCTCTAGCTATCAGTCCGTCAGTTTGGAAGTCTGTCAGTTCCGTCTGTCATACCGTTAGCTCGTCTATCCGTCATTCAATCTGTCCGTCCGTCCGTCCGTCCGTCTGTCTATATGTAGGTATGCATGCTTGTCCATCCATGGGTCTGCTCGTCTGTCCGACAGTCCCTCCGTCAATTCGTCAGGAAGCCCGTCCGTCCGTCCATCCGTCCGTCCGTCCATCGTCCATCCGTCCGTCCGTCCGTCCGTCCGTCCGTCCGTCCGTCCGTCCGTCCGTCCGTCCGTCCGTCCGTCCGTCCGTCCGTCCGTCCGTCCGTCCGTCCGTCCGTCCGTCCGTCCGTCCGTCCGTCCGTCCGTCCGTCCGTCCGTCCGTCCGTCCGTCCGTCCGTCCGTCCGTCCGTCCGTCCGTCCGTCCGTCCGTCCGTCCGTCCGTCCGTCCGTCCGTCCGTCCGTCCGTCCGTCCGTCCGTCCGTCCGTCCGTCCGTCCGTCCGTCCGTCCGTCCGTCCGTCCGTCCGTCCGTCCGTCCGTCCGTCCGTCCGTCCGTCCGTCCGTCCGTCCGTCCGTCCGTCCGTCCGTCCGTCCGTCCGTCCGTCCGTCCGTCCGTCCGTCCGTCCGTCCGTCCGTCCGTCCGTCCGTCCGTCCGTCCGTCCGTCCGTCCGTCCGTCCGTCCGTCCGTCCGTCCGTCCGTCCGTCCGTCCGTCCGTCCGTCCGTCCGTCCGTCCGTCCGTCCGTCCGTCCGTCCGTCCGTCCGTCCGTCCGTCCGTCCGTCCGTCCGTCCGTCCGTCCGTCCGTCCGTCCGTCCGTCCGTCCGTCCGTCCGTCCGTCCGTCCGTCCGTCCGTCCGTCCGTCCGTCCGTCCGTCCGTCCGTCCGTCCGTCCGTCCGTCCGTCCGTCCGTCCGTCCGTCCGTCCGTCCGTCCGTCCGTCCGTCCGTCCGTCCGTCCGTCCGTCCGTCCGTCCGTCCGTCCGTCCGTCCGTCCGTCCGTCCGTCCGTCCGTCCGTCCGTCCGTCCGTCCGTCCGTCCGTCCGTCCGTCCGTCCGTCCGTCCGTCCGTCCGTCCGTCCGTCCGTCCGTCCGTCCGTCCGTCCGTCCGTCCGTCCGTCCGTCCGTCCGTCCGTCCGTCCGTCCGTCCGTCCGTCCGTCCGTCCGTCCGTCCGTCCGTCCGTCCGTCCGTCCGTCCGTCCGTCCGTCCGTCCGTCCGTCCGTCCGTCCGTCCGTCCGTCCGTCCGTCCGTCCGTCCGTCCGTCCGTCCGTCCGTCCGTCCGTCCGTCCGTCCGTCCGTCCGTCCGTCCGTCCGTCCGTCCGTCCGTCCGTCCGTCCGTCCGTCCGTCCGTCCGTCCGTCCGTCCGTCCGTCCGTCCGTCCGTCCGTCCGTCCGTCCGTCCGTCCGTCCGTCCGTCCGTCCGTCCGTCCGTCCGTCCGTCCGTCCGTCCGTCCGTCCGTCCGTCCGTCCGTCCGTCCGTCCGTCCGTCCGTCCGTCCGTCCGTCCGTCCGTCCGTCCGTCCGTCCGTCCGTCCGTCCGTCCGTCCGTCCGTCCGTCCGTCCGTCCGTCCGTCCGTCCGTCCGTCCGTCCGTCCGTCCGTCCGTCCGTCCGTCCGTCCGTCCGTCCGTCCGTCCGTCCGTCCGTCCGTCCGTCCGTCCGTCCGTCCGTCCGTCCGTCCGTCCGTCCGTCCGTCCGTCCGTCCGTCCGTCCGTCCGTCCGTCCGTCCGTCCGTCCGTCCGTCCGTCCGTCCGTCCGTCCGTCCGTCCGTCCGTCCGTCCGTCCGTCCGTCCGTCCGTCCGTCCGTCCGTCCGTCCGTCCGTCCGTCCGTCCGTCCGTCCGTCCGTCCGTCCGTCCGTCCGTCCGTCCGTCCGTCCGTCCGTCCGTCCGTCCGTCCGTCCGTCCGTCCGTCCGTCCGTCCGTCCGTCCGTCCGTCCGTCCGTCCGTCCGTCCGTCCGTCCGTCCGTCCGTCCGTCCGTCCGTCCGTCCGTCCGTCCGTCCGTCCGTCCGTCCGTCCGTCCGTCCGTCCGTCCGTCCGTCCGTCCGTCCGTCCGTCCGTCCGTCCGTCCGTCCGTCCGTCCGTCCGTCCGTCCGTCCGTCCGTCCGTCCGTCCGTCCGTCCGTCCGTCCGTCCGTCCGTCCGTCCGTCCGTCCGTCCGTCCGTCCGTCCGTCCGTCCGTCCGTCCGTCCGTCCGTCCGTCCGTCCGTCCGTCCGTCCGTCCGTCCGTCCGTCCGTCCGTCCGTCCGTCCGTCCGTCCGTCCGTCCGTCCGTCCGTCCGTCCGTCCGTCCGTCCGTCCGTCCGTCCGTCCGTCCGTCCGTCCGTCCGTCCGTCCGTCCGTCCGTCCGTCCGTCCGTCCGTCCGTCCGTCCGTCCGTCCGTCCGTCCGTCCGTCCGTCCGTCCGTCCGTCCGTCCGTCCGTCCGTCCGTCCGTCCGTCCGTCCGTCCGTCCGTCCGTCCGTCCGTCCGTCCGTCCGTCCGTCCGTCCGTCCGTCCGTCCGTCCGTCCGTCCGTCCGTCCGTCCGTCCGTCCGTCCGTCCGTCCGTCCGTCCGTCCGTCCGTCCGTCCGTCCGTGATACATTACATACCGTCCGTCCAAACGCCCGACTGACCACCCCGATCCGCTCATTATCATTCCTGAGGAATCACCGATTGCAGGTGCTTATTATCCTTCACTTTTAAAATGGGGACGCGACGGACCCCCCACTGCGGCCGGGGCTGCCCACGTCAGCATCAGTCCACCTTGTTTGTCCCCTTGCTGCCCGTTGGGTAGAGTCTACCTACCCTGTCCTGTCAGGTAGAACCCTCCAGCCATGTAAGACAGGTAGAGCTCTCCTGTCACACCTCATGCTATCGGCCCAGTCATTCACCGGCCGGCGTCGTCCGTTCACCCCAATGAACATACCTGAGAGCTGAATCGCTTCTACGGCCGGTGGTGCCGCCCGCGATGGCACCAACACTACACACACCACAGCCAGAACAGCACAAAGCGACACACAAGTCCTCCTTCCCATGGTGACGTGTGTGATGGCCGAGTCGCCGCGCGCGCACCGGCACCGCTGATCCCTCGACGGCGGTCGACTGTCGACTGGCGGCAGATATCGTCTGCCGACCTGACCCCGGGGCTGGGCCTGTTCGCACGCGCAGTCGACGCCGCCGCTGGACGCGAGGAGAGAGTGCGGAGACGAAGAGGCCCGCTCCAGGTAGAGGGATCCGGAGACGCGCTGGGAGGAATGGAGGAATGAGGGGAGGGCTGGGGAGATTAATTACCTCAGACTAGCAGTTTGAGTTGGTAGCTATTACCCTTTCTTGTCGAGCTGATTTGCATATGTGTTTTTCAGATATAAACGGAATGAAGTCCCAGTAAACAGCGTGAAAATAGGTCGACGAGTTCCGTGCGGATATTTGTGCGAGCGTAACTTTTACGCTAGAATTCATCGGCGTCTATTCCATCCTAATAAATCGGGACCAACCCATATAATCATTGACCATATATTCCTGTTCCGGGATGCCGGTCACTCCACCAATACCGAGTAGGGCAGTTTAAATAGGAGCAGGGCCCAGTTCATATAGAAAAGCCAGTCGGCAAGTGTCACTTTTCCAAAGTGCCACTTTTCAAAAGGACACTTTTGGAAACATTGGTGCAGGTGTGTAAGGGTGGCTACATGAACCCGTATGTCGAGTCGCCCTTTCCGATAAGTGTCCCTTAGCAGCATAGGGGCTCTATATGAACTGGGCCCTGGTTATTATGAGGTGACCGTTTGAGCGGTTGGTTAAACGGTTACAAATCGTGACACGCCAATTCCAAAGAGGCGGGCTCAGTCACTGCGGCCCACCGGTCGGTGGTTGAATGAACATAATGCCACCCTATTATCCTACCATTACCAGGGTCAGTATCACGTCCCTGAATGCAATTTTATAGCGTTAATTTACATTCCATTGATCTAGAAAATAATGGTAAAGAATGTATGAACCTCGTATAAAAATATGGTTTATTCCTTCTTCAAATTATTTTTTATTTATTTCAGGAAGACTTCCAACGTAATTTTGTTAATTCGAATATGCCCAGTCAATGTCTACCAATTTCAGCAGCATTTTGTCAGCTGATTATCATCAGTTGATGGAAGGAAACGTAAGCCCAATGCTAATATCTGGAACGGCTTAGGAGTTATCTAAAAATAATTGACGGACGGGACACAATCCGCGTCAGAAACAACTGATTGTGGCCTAAAATTGAGTGCTGTTCCGTAGCATTCCCGTGATCGAAAACTCGAAGACCCGATTTTCCCAGCGGTGACTGAAATACGTTGAATGGTCGTCAAAAATAACTACTTCACTTAATCAAACCTCGCCAAAATATTTGCCTAAGTATGCTACTACTCTAAGAATACATTCTAAACGCCAGGTGTTACACAAATGAAATCTGCATCAGCCACACTGGAAATTAATGTGCGACTGTGCGTTCATTTTAAAATTCAGGATAGATTCACATTGCCCACCACAGTTCACAGACTTCATCAGACCCATGCTATCACAACTATCTCTCCATACCGTTCGCACCACCCACAGATGGACAAGAATTCTTAGCTTCTCCTGGCATTCATCCTCGCTGTCTTCAGGATCACAATCCTTCTTGACCATATCTCTCTGCTCCATGCTGACGATGAACGACCCAGACACTGGCGCAGGGCAGTACCAGGAGCCCCAGTGCGGCCGGTAGAGGGCGCCTCAACCACCACCCGTGCCTGCATCGGCCGACACCCAAGTGACGGTTTTCCACCACCGACGCTCGTTGTTATTGGAATTTCCAAATACGCTTGGTCGACACTCCCGTACAACGTTAGGTATGGGGTCAGCCACCGAGGAGCAATAGTCTTGGTTGAGACAGTGTGATATCTCTCAGCACAGTCTAATCATAGATATCATAGATACATTGTATATCTTCAGCCACCCAGGAGCAGTAGTCTTTGATTGACTCAGCATTACTTTTCAATCCAGCCGGATCATAGAGATCATATATACATTGTATATCAGATCTCTACGCCCCCACATCCTCTCTTTCCACAACCAGCTGAAACGGTCATAATAGACCAAAATTGTCTACACCTCACCCGATAAAAACTCCAAGAGGCCCTCTCCCGCTGATACCAAAATGATACATAATTCCTAAGGCGAACAATGGGGTTCTAGACACCCTCCTGATCATTCTTGTATGTAAAATCCCCTTCCTACGAGAATCTTCTATCAAGGATGACGACTGACGAGTGCACGGAATCTAGAGTTTGGACCTACGCTGATCGTAAGCAGACCCATGGAGCTATACTAGCGAGACTCGAACTTTTTGGGATTTCAGGGTGTGTTGAGTCTACACAGTATACACCCTTATCGAAGATCTCCAAGCCGTGGATGCTAATTCTCCATGGCGGGACCCACCTTCTACGGTGTTGATGCAGAAGTTCCAGTTCTTGTTGAGTTTCTGCAGGGCCTCCCGGATGCGTTTGTCCAGAACGTTCTTTCCGGCGTTGTTGCAGAACACAGACGAGGGGAAGTTCATCTTGATTTTGACCACACGCTGTGCCTGCTCGGCAGCTGCAAAAAACAAACAGAAACACGTCAAATTGCTGAACCATTTACAAAATACAGCATGCCGCTATAGAATAGAAGAATGAATACGGCATTGTCAAACAACCGACGAAATAAATGGCATCACCAACCGATGCCCGCAAATCACTCCACTGGCCTTAACTATGACATGCTTGATGAATAGTGACAGAGTATGTTATTTTATAACCAAGTACCGCACAGCGAACCTGCAATTTGCAAGTTGGCGTTGCACCCAAAAGAACACACTACGTCCAGTCAACACGCTCCAAATGCCATACACTGTAACAGCGTCACCTTACAGACAGATTTAGATGAATTGTCACGATGGTGCAAAAACTGGAATATGACTATTAATGTTAAAAAGTGTGCTATAATGCGAATGTCCAGACAAAAATGTGCAAAAACACCGAAATATTATCTAAATGGTTTAGAAGTCCAGGTAGTTAAAGAATATAAGTACTTAGGCGTTCACCTTTCGAGTACATGTAATTGGCAAAAACATATACAATATGTTACAAGTAAAGGAAATCAAATGTTGAGATTTGTCAAAAGAAATTTTAGAGGCTGCCCGCAGACTGTTAAGGAAAGCGTCTATTTGACCTTAGTCAGGCCACTGTTAGAATATTCAAGCTGTGTCTGGGATCCAAGTGCAGAGGGAACGAAGCATGAACTAGAAATGATACAAAGACGTGCTGTAAGATTTGTTTTAGATGATTATTCGAGGGATAGTAGTGTTAGCAGGATGTTGTCTGATATTGGCTGGAAAAATCTAGAGGCCCGACGCCGAGCTGCTAGATTATGCTTGATGTTTAAATTATGCAGTGGCTTTAGCAGATTAGATGTCAGTGGCATCCTCATACAACCTGATTACATAGGAAGAAATGATCACAGCAAAAAGGTTAGACGACTTCAATCACGACTTTTGTCCTATCACAACTCATATTTTCCTCGAACTATCCGTGACTGGAACAACTTGCCTGCGAGGCTCATAGAAGCAGAAAGTGCCGCAGCTTTCCAAAAATATGTCTTAGAAGCAGGGATGCGGAGCCGGAGCCGGAGTCGGAGCCGGAGCCGCCGGAGCCGGCATATTTTGCCCGGAGCCGGAGCCGGAGCCGGAGCCGTGAAACAATATAGCCCGGAGCCGGAGCCGGAGCCGGAGCCGCCAAAAAAGGGGGCGACTCCGGCTCCTTTTTATTTTTTGAAGAGGAAAAAATAATTGACCTAGTTCGGTTTGACAGTACAAGGCAGTAAAACATATCGTACTATTGGTCTCAATATAAGTGCCCAGGCGACCTGTAGTTTTGATGCGGTGAATACCCTCACCCTCGCCACAATGCGAGTGGGGGTGGCGCTGGCTGGGAGGAGGGGTGCACTCGGCCCGAGTTGTGGCGAGGGTAAGGGTATTCACCGCATCAAAACTACAGGTCGCCTGGGCCCTTATCTTGAGAACAATAGTACGTCATGGGCCATCAATTGAATGAAAAGCCGAATATCCCCAGTATCCCACAGTACGCATTCAGCTTCCTGTCTGCTCCTCCCCCCTCACGTCTACTGCATCCCCAGAACATGAGGACCGGTCATCAGGTGACGGCCATTGTTTTGAAGCCAGTGCAGTGGACTGCGACTCCCAGCGCCGTCTCTTCCCACCCACCCCCCACCCCACCCCCACCCCCACCCCTCACCCCCACCCCCCCCAATGCAGCCGAGATGGGTGTCAGCTTACGATGGTTCAGTGAACTCCGATTCGCGGCGACTGCGTTTCCAATGCCATCGCTTCCTAGTCCTTTGTTCTGCCAGTGCTCTCCGAGGTGCGTTTGCGCGGGGAGTGCGGTGAGCCGGTCATGGCAAGAGTAGGTAACGCGTATAACCAATCCAATTTTTCTTCCACCCGTATTTAATTGATTGCATAGGGGATGTACTAAGTCGGAGCCGGAGCCGCCGGAGCCGGACCATTTTACTCGGAGCCGGAGCCGGAGCCGGAGCCGCCATAACATTTCACCCGGAGCCGGAGCCGGAGCCGGAGCCGATTTTTTTCTCCGGAGCCGGAGCCGGAGCCGGAGCCGTTTGAAATTTCCACGGCTCCGCATCCCTGCTTAGAAGAAAATGACAATTAGTTTTTATTAACAATAGTAGTCCCCTTGCGAACGACAAATGCTTGAAATCAATTTTATGTCGACTATTTTCACATTACATAACTTATGCTCTGTGTACTGTGTGCCTATGATTGTAAAAATGTCAAAATGTGCATGGAACGAACGTGTGCGATTGTCGTTAGAAATGAGAGAGCAACCTGAATGTGATTGCGTATGACTGTTAGATGGATGGATGCTGGTCATCGTCATCGTCATGCGTTTTAGCAAACATCACCAAGGCCATTCTTTGGCAACTGTGATTGTGTCGCATGAATATATGAATATATATGAAGTAGCGACGCCTGGCGGAGGCACTCCGTATTTGCTAGTTACACACCCTGTGCTATAGATGACGCCCGTGTCTCCGTCGACTTACGTGCACAGCTGGGGTAGATGAGAGGCGTGTTGGGCTGGTCATTGGGTCGCCAGAAGCCCTCAGGGCCGCACACATAGAAGTCGGGAATAGGCTGGCTGAACTGCAGTCCTCTGTAAAGAGACATATACAGACAGTGTTAGGGTAAATCATGGAACTCAGAAATGGGCCCTGGGCATGTGTTGGTCTGTAGCTAAACGTAAACACTAAACAATGGTGTCACGCTGAACAGTCATCGATGATGATGATGATGATGAATTAGGGTTTTTGGGCGCCCGGACTACAGTGGTCATCGGCGCCCACCGAACAGTCATCGACACTGTCACTAATACTGTCAGGAAACCACAGTCAGTGTCATGACTCATAAGAGCAAGCTCATTGCAAATGTCACCGATTGCTCATTGTTGAGATGGTGTCCTGTAAAACCTGAGTCAGACGTAACACCTGTCATTTCAATTTAAACTAAACGAGTGATGAAAGCCACGCACTTTACCAGATAATCGAAACCCCTGAGCTCGGAGCTAGTCTTCCTGTAACAAAACTCCCTAAATATAACATATTGATCCCAGCTCATTAATTGAAAACAGGCCAGCTGCAATAGGCAAGTTAAAGCGCGTACGACTGATCGCATCATGACGTGTCATAATTATTCGTTGTGTCACGCGGTCCTTAATTCATCTGTTGAGCTTCACGTGTCTCCAAGCCACACTCATCTATTCAGCCGTGTGGACTGCGCATTAGCTGCCCATACTCACGGGTCGCATCTGATCTGACAGTAGCGGAAGCGTCCGTTAGGTCCCCACGTGGAGCACTCCTGGTATCCACCCTTCGGATCTTCCGGTGTCGGGCATATCTCCTCTGCAAAGAAAAACAATCGGTTAGTCCACAGCCAAAACAAACTTCAGAGCGACAGTGTTATACAAACAGCACAGTAAAATAACCACTCACTGGTTCGTGAATGATAACACGTTCTACACCTTTTTACGCCCAATTTAGGCGGCAGTGCACACTGCACACATTTAAGTAACAGTGCATGCAATTTCGACAGTACGGTACAGTCTGTCTAATGCCAACTGTCGAAATCGGTTGCACTATTAGTGAATTGTGTCAGTGCAATGTGCACATTCTATATTTGGCCGTAAAAAGGTGTAGTTGCCGTTGGCGGTATATGTATATAGCCAAGGCCCTAAATTATACAGCAAATGCGAAGCCAAGCCTTCAGGTGCCTCACTACCGCCGTCTGTCGGTGAACCGAGGAGAACCCCCGCAATGCCGTAATGGTATGCACAGATGGCGCAGGCGTCGCAATTGGCCTTCGGCTAGCATGAGTCACTAGTCACTACCGTAGGCCACTCTCGAGGCCCTTATTTCACAACCGCCACCCAGAAGTAGGAAATAGGGCCAGTTCAGACTGGAGTTTCTCCCCCTGGTTGCTGGTGCGCACAATGTGAGGGTGCATAAAGGCCTGGCTACACTACGCGTTCTCTGCGTGCGTTTTTTGCGTGTTTGCGGGTTTTGCGTAATATCGTTCTAGAAAAAAGGTTATTATTAATTAAACTTCTTTAATATTTATATAAAAGTTAATAAAACGTTTATGTTAATTAAGAGTTTATATGAAAAAGATATACCTAACAAAAACGTAATATCGTTTCTTTCTAGAACGATATTCCGTAAATCACGCAAACTCGCAAAAAACGCACGCAGAAAACGCATAGTGTAGCCAGGCCTTAATTCATTGCAAATATATTCATCTACCGGCCATCCGCCATAGGTCACGAGAGGTCATTGCGCGCCCCTGGCATATACCAGCACCGGGCGCTATCGGGCCGCTAGTTCAGCCGCCGCTCGCTAGATGTCTCTACTGTAGGGGGAAGATCGGCCGTATTCCCGCGGCGTTGCGGGGCCGCCCGGACCGATAGCACAGCCGGGCGAGTGTACCCCGGCACCCCGGACCATGCCGCTTCTAGAGCAGTGTAAACAGAGCGAGCCGCCAACGGTCAATGCAGGGGGCGTTCCACTGAACTCTATGGGCGTTACCATGCCTTCTCTCGAACACGAGGTTTTCGAAATGCAATATCCAGGTCATAGGTCACAAGGAGGATGAATATTTTATTTTTAGCGTTTGTACCGCCGACTTGTTGGTAGCTTTCCCGACCTATAAATATGTGGGAATTACTAAGTTTTCATTACGAATTAATTCGTCACGCGCATCCAGCTGGGAGGGGGGTTAAGTAATGTTCCTCTCATAGTGTCTCTGCAATATTTTCTAAACGGTTTAAGCTAGCTGAGTGAAACGTTCAGTCCATTTTCTACGTCAAAATGACCTGATACTTGGAAAATTCGACAGTAAATAACTTTAAGAGTATGACGTTTCAGAGTCGTTGCGACGCCTAAAATTAATTTAAAATAAATTAGCTTTCGCTAATGGGTCTTTACCTACTGGCCTAACCTGATTCTGGACTTTTTTGTGACATAATTTGCTGTCTTATGGCTTTTCAACGCGTTCTGGATTATCACTCTCAGCTAATAACTAGTTCGTTCGCCAAAGCCTCCAGGCAAGAGATCTGCTCGAGAGAAATCTTCATCTTGTTAACAGCTTTCCATTGTTGTTTCCCCAGTACCCTTTTCTACGATTCAGACGTTAGAAAGGGAAGCCCCCCCCGGGGAGGGGGGGGGGACACGGGCTTGTGCCTCAGCGAGGCAAGTGTTCAGGAGGAAAAGTGTGGATTCAAATGCAAAACGGTGATAATCGCATGGAGGAGATAAATAAACGTTGGTAACATGCATATGAAAAGGAAATAAACAAACTCCGTGACAAAAATGGACAAAGTCGTGGCGGCTCGTAGGATCCCTCATTAACCCTCGCCCGTATATTGGTGTTTTGCCAGCCGCGAACGAGGTTGGGGGGGGGGGGGGGGCGCTGGACCCCTCTCGCCGTTTGGCCCCTGATCGAGCAAGAGCTTATAACGAAAAAAAAACGCGCATGCTGCCCGTGACGAGAGGCAGCCGTTAATAGCCAATTTAATGGTCCTAGGTCATTGGTAAGGTCAATGACCCAAAAGTCGGGAAGATCGGGACCTGTTTTGAGTATCGTAAATTCAGATTGCCATGAGTTTTTTTTTTCGGGGGGCTGATCACGAATTTCATGTTAAGTTTAAGCACAGATGATGTCTTGATGCATTTAGACTAGGTCGGGTCATGTCGCGTTAGATCAACCAGTAGGGGTCCTGCCGGGGCCCTGTTTCACCGGTGATAGCAGCAAGCTACTATCAAATTGCGCGAGCTGACGTAATGTGATGACGTCATACTGCTGACGTAAGGGGCAATTCTGGCGCACGATTGCCGCAATATTGTTTTACGTCATCAGCTAAATGTTCGAAGTTAATGTCAAAATTTTTCCTAAACCCAACTTCTTTTAAATACATCATATTGAAAAAATATATATCAAAAATATATTTACTATCATGACTGCGTAAACTCTTACTTTTAGGCTCATACGTCACTTAATGCCGCCGCCAAGGTCGCGGCAATCGTGCGCCGGAACTACCCATTACGACAACAGTATGGCGTCACGACATGACGTCAGCTCGCGAAACGTGATAGCAGCTTGCTGCTATCACCGGTGAAACAGGGCCCGGGTATTCGTACAACCGCCTCTGATAGCTTCGTTACATGTTACGAAGGCACCAGAACTACTTTGTAAATGTTCAAAATGGTTGCTAAATTCGAATTCAGCTTCATTTCTGTCTTGTGTCGGCTTCATTACGCTCCATTTCCTGCGTACGATACCCGAGATGTTTTCCGTTCCTACAGCATTCAATCTAATGAGTAAATATCTCAGTTAGAAACTGCCGCTGATTCTGTTTGTAATAGTTTGAACCCTCTGTATTTAGCACATTAATCATCACCGGACACAAAGCAACACAAAAACACAACAAAATTAAATCAAACAGGCATAATTACCATCAAAGCCATGCATCTAGAAGGCATCCATGATAGGTATATGCAAGACCGAATAATTTATAGCGAATTAAGGCTAGGAAGATAAAATATGTACATGATGCATGGTACATGACTTATGTACATGTCATGTGTGCGCAATAGGGTCACATGACGCAAGCGGGTTATACATAGGCACAAGCTTCTATCAGCATTTAATGACTATTTACAATTCATCGTCCATAAGACTAATTATCAAATCCGATTAAATCAAAGCTCTTCTTCGCAACCATGATAGCAACACAGTAGGCACACACTTATAAAAAAGTTAACATTGCAGCCGGCACAATATCAACATCTAACAACTATACCCACAAAGACTTCCAAGTCACAATATCTTTTTCGTTTCAGCAATGTATGCTGGCTCAGCATCTGAAGACGCCGAGCAGTTACATGCGCCGGTAAACTGGCCCGTTTTGGATGGAGGGTGACGGGGGTGCAGGTGGGGGCCACTCCCAAACCGTTCTTCGCATAGTTTCTCACACTGGTGTCTCTCCGTGACTTGGGCAGAGGTTAGGTTCAATGCTCTGTTGTTGTCTGTTGTTGGCATAAGATGTTAGATGTCAGCGCCACTTTCAATGCTGTAGCTTGTGGGGGTCAACCAACTGCATCAACTCCGTAGACTTTTATGAATAGTTTTCATTTCAAAATGACACAGCAGTTGCGTAAGATCAACTTGTGTATATCGAAACAAGTTCCACACCTGTGGTGCGAAAAACATTTTTGTTCAAAGATGTATGGTGGGCATTTCAAGGGGACCTTAGTCATATAAAAAACAAATTTTTATTCATTAGTATTTTTATTTATCATTAGGAACAAATAAAAACTGATACGTTTAAGCCGTGTAAATTTAAAAGGTGCTAACCATGATTTAGAGTAAACCTGTTTCCGTCGGTTTGACCATGCCCACATAGATAGACTGCTACGTTTAAGCCTTCCATATTTAAAAGACGATAGCCATGCTTTAGAGCAAACTCGTCTATGTCCGTTTGACCATGCCCACATCAACTTGAACACGCGTTGGTTACACGGCAAGCACGAATTACGCCACGATGCAGTATTTCTGAAATGCTCTCGCCGGTTCCTGACTTGCGCCACGACTTGCTCCAGCCAGCTGGTTGAGCTGAAGATGCACGCGCTCTCCTCTGTCAGCCTTCAGGAGGCAGTAGTGTGCGGCGACGTCAGGGAACTCCTTCAGCAGGTTGCCGAGCTCCTCGGTGAACTGGGCCGCCGCTCTGGTGTATTCGCTGGGGTCGACGTTGGCCGCGGCCACCCCGAGACGGAGGGTGCGCAGAGGTGTGGCCAGCTCTACGGCGAAGCAGCTGGCGCCGACCTCCGAGCCGCAGCGGTAGATGGAGAAGTTGCCGTAGCTCCTGCCGGAGAGCGCCGGCACCACGGCCTTCACGCCTCCCACGTCCTTCACGGGCTGGAGATGTTCATCCAGCTCTGTGATGTCGTCAGTCCAGTCGTTTGGCTCGGTCGGACAGATGATGACAATGCGCTTCAGTGGCAGGTTCAGACCGCTGTCCTTCTGCAGCTTCTCCAGCTCACTGGCGACATTCCTTTGAGCGACAGCCAGCTTCAGGTAGCCGTGGAGGAAGCTCCAGGCGAGGTAAGCACCCACATCTTCTGGCACATGTTCAGGTTCTGACTCTGATGCGATTGCCGGCTCCTCACTTTCCGCCTCGTCTTTGAAGACGGCAGCCTCCAGTGCCTTCTGCAGAGCCCCTTCTTGCCGCGAGTCATACTCGACGAGTCGGAAGGCGGCACGAAGGTTCTGATCTCGGGCTATCGTGTCCCGAAGAACCGACACGAACCGACTGACCAGTTGCGGAGTTTCGAGCTGATTCGGCCTGCGTTTGACGCCTTTCATCGCTTCGGCCACTGTCAGCATCGTCCTCAGTGAAGCGACAGCCTCAGCAGCGACCAGTCGCTGCTCACCCTCGGTTGACCCGTGCCGGGTCACTTTGAAGACAGCATGCGCACCGTACTCTCGACTTCTTGCTCCGGCCACGGACTTTGAGAAGGGTGCTGCGCGACCAACGCTGACCAGCCTACCTCCATCCAGCCGCTCGGCATCGTCCGGTATCCTACCGTCGGAAGGACAGAGCAACATGAGTCTCTCGCAGGTGGTGAGTTTTTCTCTGTCAGCCAGCGTCTTCAGACGTTCCTTCAGCGGAGCACCCGACCGTAGGATCTGTAGGTATCCGTGGTTGAAGCCCCAGGCGGCCGCCGTGGGCACATCTATCGAGTGACCGGGTCTCGCCATGGCCAGCTCCTCAGATGCACGAACTGTCCACAGAGTATCCAACAGCCACAAAGGCTGAGCTACCGCCGCCGCAGGCGACTATACGAGCGCGGGGTTTTGTCCGAGCAGAAAGTGTTTGTGTCAGACCACTTAGTCTTCTATCTCAAACCACCAACAACTTATCTGTTTGGTCACCGTAGTTTTCTATCCCAGAATCAAAAACTTCTGTGAGACCACGTCAATCTTCTGTCTTACCACCAAACAGTCAAACTGTCGAAGGCCTTTGACCACAGATAGCTTCTCCTCTCTTCGCTGGTTGATATCTTCCGCCCTGCGTCCAAATCACGCCTGGTCACCGCTCGCCCACAGTCTGCTTTGAACGCTAGTCGCACACGGAGCGTCTGACAGTACGTCCGCTATCCACCAAAGTCATCGACCGACTGGCGGCTCGCTCCGCTCGAGTCTCCCCGCTCGCGCGCGCGACTAAACTCGTACCGACCCCGCCGCGCTGAATTTATAAACGTAGAGCGGGAAGGCGGATCGATAAGAAGGCGGACCCCCCCAGCCCCCCACTCCAAAATAGCTCCGACGCAGTTCGTGAACTATCTCGATTCTCGACACCGAAGATGGATACGCAGAACGTAATTTCACCAGCAGAAATGCGCGACAATAGTCAGACGAGAACACAATGGCGTCATGCATGCAATGTCGCAATTTTGCCAAACTCATCTGATGAGATGAGCCAGAGGTTCGCCCGTTAGAGGTGGGTGGGTGACTCTTCACTGGTAATCGTGACAAGTTTTTCGTCGAATACCTATTCATCCCAGCTACGTCATATATCCGACCGCATTCATGGATTTCACTTGGATCAGGAAGGAGTCACCAATGGTGACTGGTCAGAGTTGTTTCTTCTTATTCATCTTTTTTTTTGCACGGGCAGTAGCCCTACCCACACTGACTGTGATAAAATCTAGCCATCTTCAATTTGCTGAGGAACAGTTACTCTTATAGTTTTTTTTTTCTTCTCAAAAGGTGCTTGGCACACAAAAAACCTTTAATCAATTATGCAAATAAAACGAACCAAAAATGACTCACCCACTTGTTTACCTCACAAATTTGAGGTGTACCTTTTTGATTCTCAAAAATAAGAATTTATAGAGAAGTGCAAGAGTTGTCGTCTATAATGGTGAAATAACGTTTAAGCATTGTTACGGCCGGACCGAACAAAGTTTTATTTACCGCCAGACCAAGGTTTATTTTTATCAAAAGTTTAGAATAATAGCACAAGCTCAAAGGACGAGGATAAAACTTTGTGAGGTTGACGGAGGAATGAACTGTCCGGTCTAAGTTAGCAATTAGCCTTCAATTCTACGGTATGTTGTAAAGAAAAAGTGTGTTTTTATGTTTTTATCCTTCTGATACAGATTTATTGACCCGATAAAAAAGCAAAACCTTCCGTTCTTGGCATATGCTGGCACTATACTGGATCGAGTGAGACTGTAAGATTCAAGATTCCTTATCCATGTAAGATTCATTAGAACGGCGAGTCCCACGGTCAGACACACAGCGGAAGGCCACAGTCATTTACGTGGCCCCGCTGAAACCCGGCCATGACCCGCCTTGTGATACACCCAGAGACGCCAGTACAACTATTGGCCGGAGAGTGACTTTATTTCAGGCAAATTATGACTTTATTACGGAGCGAGCGAAGCGAGCGGAGTCTCATACTGAATTAAGGGAAAATTCTGAGTATGAGCGGCCGGCCGGCCGGCCGGCCGGCCGGCCGGCCGGCCGTGGGGACGCTCTTTAAAAGCTAATATCTTAGGAACGGGACATCCGATTGACAAGCGGTCTTCTTTACTGAATGTCACTTGGACGTAAAAGTTCTGTGGTGTGATGGCCACCATGCGTTCTTGCCAACCACCGCACGTGGCGCGTGGTAAAGTTGGACATTTTTTAAGAACCCCCAAAATTGCAACCTCAATAACGGCACAACGGTTGGGCCGATTGAATTGAAACTCGGTACACAGTTAGGTCTCCATCAGATAATTCATCTGCATGTGCTAAGGTTGGGGTGCTACAGCACGTGCGCACGTGCAGGGGGCGCTCCCAGATCTCGAGAACGGCTGGGCCGATTGCGCTCAAATTTGGTACACGGTTGGGGACCAGTTAGTAGGGTGCCGTGCAAAAGTCAGTTTGGACCCCGCTTGCACGTGCGCACGTGCAGTGTGCCGCTTCCAGATCTCGAGAACGGCTAGGCCGATTGCGCTGAAATTTGGCACATCGCTAAAGACCGGTTAGTAGGGTGCAGTGCACAAGTTAGTTGGAGGTACCCCCTCGCAATTTCGCACGTGCAAGGCCCATCCTCTCGCTCGCTCCGTTGGTCGCCCAAAAGGCGTTTTACTGGTAGTAACAAATGAGCTGAAGACTTAGCTCGTTATTATTTCTTTATTTTATCTCCTAAAATGACATACGACTTTAGTTGTGGTACAAAATGACTATTCCATGACTTCAAAATGACTTTATTTCATCTTCATTACCAGTCTTGGCGCCAAACTGATCATACTGAGGCCATGCGATGTGTTAGTGACGTGCAACTGCAGACAGACCAAGACGTGCACCCGCGACCCCGTGCCGCCGCGCCGGCCGGCGCCTGCCTGTGGCCCCCTCCCGCAGAGATATGACACCGCGGGTCAGGTGATCGTTGTCGGGTGCTGGCTGGCGAGACGGTGGCGGCGAGGGCCCTGCGCGGGAGTCGGACCGGAGGGGGGGGGGGGGGGGGGGGCAGCTATGTGTGTGGGGCAGTCGGAGCACTCGTGGAATTACCAGTTACACATCGGTAACACGCTTACCTTTGTCGACAAGCCTAAGGAGTAGAAACCTTCCCAATCTTCTCCCTACGCCCGCACTAATCACCAGTATAACGCCTTTTGGGGCGACTAACGGAGCGAGCGAGAGGGTGGGCCTTGCACGTGCAAAATTTCGAGGGGGTACCTCCAACTGACTTGTGCAGAGCACCCTACTAACCGGTCTCCAGCGATGTGCCAAATTTGGGCACAATCGGCCCAGCCGTTCTCCAGATCTGGAAGCGGCACCCTGCAAGTGCGCACGTGCAAAATGGGTCCCAACTGACTTGTGCACGGCACCCTACTAACCGGTCCCTAATTGTGTACCAAATTTGAGCGCAATCGGTCGAGCCGTTCTCGAGATCTGGAAACGACCCCTGCACGTGCGCACGTGCAGCAGCTCCCCAACTCTGGCACATGGATATGCAGTGCCTAGTGGGTGCCTACCTACATGCCAACTTTCAGCGCAATCGGCCAAGTAGTTACCGAGATATTGCAACAATTACAAAACTGACACCTCTTCGTTTTGCACGTGGCACGTGCATAAGGGGTCACCCACATGCATCGGGAATAGTCCAATACTTGGTAGAAGGAATGAAGCTACCCTACAAAAATTACCGCATGTAAATCGGTCAAGTGGTTGCTGAGATATAAGCCTCGCAAAAGCGTCCGCACGGCCGGCCGCTCATACTCAGAAATTTCCGCTAATTTAAGGAAAGACTCCGCTCGCTTCGCTCGCTCCGTAATTATCTTCATAACAGGTCCACTGTCTCCTATTTATAGGCCCGTCTGTCTGGATTTGCCTTTTAGTGCGATATCATTGATCTGACCCTAAAGAAGATACCGATCGGCAGGGGACACGAAAAGAGTTGAGACCGAGCTGCGCCGAAAATCAGGGGCCGATTCGAGATGGCGCACTAGGAAGCTAGTAGGACTAGGCGACCAAGTGACACTTGAATGTAGTGACACTAAGCGGTATTTTACACCAATCAGCTAGTGGCTCAGCGCGAACCGAAATCACATAGTGACGCTTGAAATCAAGCGTCACTAGGGCCTTAGTGCGCCAACGCGAATCGGTCCCAGTTTTCCGAGAATCCCAGCCACCAGCCAGGCTCTCTTACTCGTACCACCGATCGACGGGCTAAATTTGCCATTGTGATCGACGGCTAATTTTGCCATTGTGTCTCGGCGGGCTCTCTGCTATAGCCCGCTCATGCTTAAAACATGCATCTGCACACGTTTAAAGTTCTAACGATATTATCCTCTGTATAATCAACATATTTACTGAATATTCCGTACCTTTATAACATACCGATAAAATGCTTAAATGATAGAAATGATGAAAACTGATAAAAATGATACACGGATAAAAACATGGTAATTCCGTTGTCAGTCAATTTTATGGGTTAGGGTGTATCGATCAGTCTTGATTGCTTCAGCTGGCACACTGATTCCCCAACGGTTGATTCTTTTAGTTATTTTAGGTCATGCACCACCACCCTCCGCCGCCATCCGCTTCCCAATTTAGTTATCTTGATAAAAACCCGCCCGTGCCTAGAATCGATCCCACGTCGGCCACTTACTGAGCACGTGCACGCGGAAGCTGCAAAGGGCGCTATTCTCGGCGTCATCTTTGGCGATATAGACGATGTCGTGGGATCCCCAGGGGAACAGCTGGCCCGGAGCGTGGTCTGCGGAGAACAGAGAACGACAGCGCGTCAGACACCTTCAACTTTTTCGATGATTACTTTTTTAATCGATATTCACAAGGTTAAAAAATTATGAACGCATTTCCAGCACTTCTTGAACCATTTCCAGTGATGGTTGTTGAGAACAATATTTATCCCTCATGTGGTGAGGCAGAACAAACTTTCAGGTAATTCCTCTAGAGCACTGTAAACTTAAACAAACTTCAAAACAATGATGAAATTTGGATGAAATGAGCGCTGTTTTTCATCCGTCTTCAAACAAGCACTGCAACCGTCATACATTTCCCTGCCCTCCCGCTGCGAGTCTGAACCCTTCGTAGCCGCAGAGTACCAATGTTTATCTACTTACCATTGATCTCAATAACTGACATCAGCTTGTCGTCATCACTGAACCTCGGCTCGTCCCAGCGCACAATGGTCGAGCCGTTGGAGGCTTGGATCCAAAGGTCACCAGGGCAGAAATCAACCCTCGGCGGCGTCTGCGAAAGGTCAGCATAGGTCAAAGGTCAGATGAGAGGTTAGGTCATCGCAGGTCAGGGGTCAGGTGTTCAGAGGCCAGCTAATCACGGGCAAAAGGTCTTTGCAGTAGCAAAGACATATCAGGTTGTTTGAGATTATATCTAGATATAGCAAAATATCGAATCGATATTTTATCTTGCTTCTTTACGGGTCAACAAAGTAAGCATTGGACTGGTTTATAAGTAATCTATCTGTAACTTTGTACTGGAATTTCAAACCTCACAGACCAAACATTCAAATTCCGTGCACACGCGTCCATGTCCCCCGGCCCGTGTCATGTGAAAGCTCCTTTATCCGGGAGCACCTGCTCACCTTATCCCTGGCCCGTGTGGTGCAGTCTCCTGTGTAGCCTGGAGCACAGATCAGCTGTCCACAGCTGGAGGGGCCCTCGCGCTCCACTGTTCCCATGAGCTGGTGGTAGCCGCTCCAGCGGAGAAGGAGACCGTCGTACAGTACCGGAGCCTTGCGGCATGACTCCACCTAGGGAGGGGAGAAGCGGTTAGAAATATAAATACAGCGGGGTCGTGTTATCATGCATACCATAAACATATATTGTAAATAACGAGCCATACACATGTTCAGAATGTACGTGCATATTGTATATTCTAAACAATCATGAGGATCTCGTTTGATTTTGGGTTTACTATATCCATGCGAGATGTATGCACGAGTATCGTATTACACCTTTTCAGTTCGCGTTCCCTGCAACGTTTATGATGCAGATCTCAAGTATGTGGTGCCTATATTTGTCGTCCCAGGCCCCGACTGACAAATATCACTGAATATTACCATACCAGTGCAAACCACTAACCAGTGAAAATTAATCCCTTCGCTATCCTCGTTTTTTTTAACGCCGCTCCTTCCGAATTCTCACCTGTTTGGGAATTTCTGTCCTGATATCCAGCATGCGGGACCACATGTTCACTCGGGCCAGTTTTCCCTTGAAGCCAGACTTGGCCATCTGAGTGCCATCTTCGGCCAGAGGAGCGCCCAGAGTGACGTAACCACTGAAAAGAAAAGAGGGTTGAGTGACCTCATGACGACAAAATCGATGGTAAATTGTTCATATTTGGTGGCAAAGATCAAATCACTGACGATTATATGTCAATTAACCATTGCATAAGTCAGTAGTTTAATTTCGCATAATCTTTTCTCGATAATTTTTGATATTGCAATAAATGTTCCCTGCAAGAGCACTTCGTAAAATTTCGTCACACTGCATTCATCGGCATTCCACTCAAGTAGATCATCGAATCACTCGACAGGAAACCGAAACAAGTCCCAAACATTCCTGCGAGCTCGCAGTTCCAGCATCCCCAGCCCACTTACAACGCCGGCAGCGTCTTGTTGACTCCGTAGTCGTTACGTTTTCCAATGACCACCAGATCAGAGACTAGTTGAACAGCACCCGATGACTCCCACGAGAGCACAATATGGTGCCATTGACGGTCATTCACAGGGATCTGCGGGTTGAAGTCCAGGAAGACGGCATCCTCGTCCTCGAAGAGGTCTAGAAGCACGCCGTGACTGCGCATCTGGACAATCACGCGACGGTCGGAGGGCACGTGCAGGGAGCTGTGGGGGAGAGAGGAAACAGAGTCAGTGTCAAAGGTCATCAAAGGTAACCGATGGGTAACAAATGTCAACTTTAAAACCTCACAAAAACGCTCAGTTGACGAGCTTGTAGAAAGGCCACGATAAAGAAATGCAGCCGAAGTAACTGGCTTTCGCTTCGTAAAACTAACCAAAGCACGCTAAGTAAAATCATCCTTCAGCTCTTTTCGCTTATTAGGTATTCCCCTACGAATGGAAGAACTGGAAAAGTTGTTTAGATTTATCATAAGCAATGACAATAACTACTAACTAGCTAGTAGTTATACTAGCTAAATAAACTACTTAACTACTAAATGCAAAGTCTAACAAATAACTAGCTATAATGATAGTTATTGTTATCTGCGAATAGACCCACTTCCCAGACACCGGTTCATCACCGCCTACCTGACGTCGTAGAGCGTGAAGAACGTTCCAATGTCCAATCGGGCGCTAAACTGCACCCACAGGCCAATGGACATGCGGGAGGCATTCTGCATGTCGAACGGCGCGTACAGAGACGCAGACGCAGACTTGGAGTCGTCGTTGAAGTACAGATCGTAGTCGACCGTGATGCCTGGAGATGGGAGGTCGCAAGTTGATATTAGGCCGGTACGTACACTTAAATATAAAGATAATATTTTCCTAGGGATATTTTAGTCTACAATTAAAACACTATCGAATTTCAATAATAAATAATTGTATTGTATCACTGCCATGTACAGTTACAAGAGCCCCTCAACTTAGGAAACATAAAATAAAATATGACATTTTTCGCTTGTTTATCCTCCCTCGCCCTCTCTCTCTCTCTCTCTCTCTCTCTCTCTCTCTCTCTCTCTCTCTCTCTCTCTCTCCCCACTCACTCTTTCTGCAGTCCTCTCCGGTCAGATTGAACGGACAGCGGCAGTAGTGTCCGTCCACCAGATCGACACAGGTAGCTCCCGTCGGGCAGCTGCCCGCAGTGCAGCGCGGTATGGCAGTCTCACAGTTCATCCCCGTGTAACCAGGTGCGCACGTGCACTGGTAGCCGAGACCGTTATCCACACAAGTGGCGCCGTTCTGGCAGAGCTGAGGAAGGAAAAATACAGGGTTAGGGCATGGGTTTGGTGTCATGAGGTCAGCTTGGCATTTATTGTATACATTTGAGATAAGTGTGATGACAAGAGTGTTTCAAAGCTGGGGAAATTTATGTTCAGAGTGTGTGTAGCGCAGGAACATTAAGTTGGCCCTTATGCGTCTCTTGTCCTTGCATTAGATTATTACCGTCATAGCCTGCATTTGTCAATTATAGTATCACTCGCTTCCGTAACACTAACATTTGCAGCATAACAACGCATTGGAGCAGCTTGCAGCGGCAGCTTCCAAATGTAATGTTTATCTTGAATAATGCAACATAAACATTACATTGGTAAAGTCCCGACTTTTGTAGTCTGCTTGACCACATGTACTGAGAGCGATCGAACAAATTAGCTTACATCGACAGCGTAGATGACTAAAATAGATGGCCTCTAACATCATACGAAAGCGACAGAGGGGGAGCGGGGGGAGGAGGGGGGGGGGGTGCAAGCGAAGGACTTACCCCTGCCTCGCAGGCATCCAGCTCATGTTGGCAGCCGACTCCCAGATAATCATCGGGGCAGCTGCAGTTCAGGCCCGAGCCGTAATCCCTGCGAGAGAATACGACATGGTACGTCAACATCGCAGCGTTGCGTAACGCTAGCAGCGCAACGATAAGTTACGTCGCACAGCCTAACCGTCGTAATACTTTAACTACGTAAATGCCTCTCGAAAACTCTGGCGAAATGCAGAGACCGACTTAATTACGCATCAGAGGATAGGATCGTGAATGCCTGTTGCTTTTAGCTTCATCTAAAAGCTGTTGGCCTAATAACAGAAAACATTCTTAATTCACAATCAGAAGCATGAAGTAACCGAGAGAGCAGCCCACATTCAAGTCGCGTATGCATTGCAACACGCCTAGCACATCAGCCTGGACATATTCATGAGTCTTATGCAGCGCACTGCATGCAATCAGAGAAGAATGCTGATTTAGGTCATGGGTATTCTGAGTCTGGGACCTGGGTCCTGAATAGTCTGAGACCTGGGTAGTCTGAACTCTGGGTAGTCTGGGTCGTGGGTAGCCTGGGACCTAGGAACTCTAGGGCCTACCTATAGGTAGGGACCTGTATATAGTCTGAGACCTGGATAGTCTGAGACCTGGGTAGTCTGGGACCTGGGTGGTCTGGGACCTGGGTAGTCTGGGTCATGGGTAGTCTGAGACGAATGTAGTCTGTCTGTGTCACTGACCTGCAGAACCCTCCGTTCATACACGGGGATCCGACACACCGCTCCGGAGTGACCTCACATCGAGAGCCATCCGTGCCGGAGGGGCACGCGCAGAAGAAGCCCTGGGGGTGAGCGGGAGGGTGCTCAGTGGTTAGAGAACACAGGTATGTAGTTTAACACGAGCGGTGAGCGAAAATAAAACAGAGCGGCCCGCCCGTGGAACGAGGGGGGGGAGTAGAACGCATGATATTACATTTATTAAACGTGCATACTAAAATGGTTTTAATCTATTTGTGGTAAAAATCGTTGCATTGCCCTGGAAGGCTTGTTGTCAACACCCATGGGTCAAAGTATTTATGATTGGTGGCGAACATCAATTGGTGACTGGGTGAGCAAGGTGATTTGGTATGCAAACAACAGAAAGAAGAAGAAAAATTACAAAAAAAGCTACAGAAGAGGTCGTACAGCTAAAAAGATACATTGATTTGTCGGAGACCAGATAATTAATTTGTGCCTTGGCCATCCAAAAACAAACGTTTCAGTAGCCACAATGTTGAACTCCATTAATCATCCTCAGCTGTTGCGTTGGAAAATACCGGTTCATTCAGGCTCGGTGACAAACACGTTACTCAAGACTGGGTCATAGTTACAGTCAGCACTGATACGACGGCCCTTAGCGCCGGCCACATGGCAGGGCGGGCTCAAGGTTCGGCTAGGAAACTCACGGTATATACCCTGCATGTCCCAACGTTTTGCAGCCCCTATCGCAAGGGCTTCTGATAATCCACGGTTACACAGCACAATCCGCGGTTACACATCAGCTATCGGCCCTCCCACAATGCCAGACGGCAAAGGCCAGCGTGCGATAGCTTGGCGTCGAGCCCCTCATTTCCCCGCACGCTTCAGGGCTATCACCTGACTGCCCGCCCCCCGCCCTCCACGCTTCTGGCGGATCCAAAGGGCGGGCCGGGGGGGGGGGGGCTTGGAGGCATCTGCCCCTCCCTTAGCGCCCGAAAGTGACGAAATCTTGCCCTTTTCTCGCATACAAAACGAAACAAACTTTTATTCAGAATAGGCTACTTGAAACTGCATAACAAGAGGTGAGTAAGCGAAATCCGAAAAGTTTTTGGAAATTGACAAACATTTTCTTTTTTGGGGGGGGGGGGGGGAATTGCAACCGCAGCTTCTCAAACCACGCTTCTGAATCAGGGAGTCTCTCTCTCTGTCTCTCTCTTTTTTTTTCTCTCTCTCTCTCTCTCCCTCCTCTCTCTCTCTTCTGCCTCACCTGGAATAGATCAATGCAGTTGGCCTCATTGAGGCACGGGGCGCTCTCACAGCTGCCAATGTCCGTCTCGCAACGTTTACCGGTCCAACCGGGACGGCAGGAGCAGGTGAAATCGTCCAGGCCGTCCGTACAGACGGCTTCGTTCAGACACGGGTTCGAGGCGCATTCGTCCTTGTTAGTCTGTGGGGCGGGGGAGGGGGGGGGGGGGTATGTCAGTAATGGTCATAGCATATCACTCATTTGTTGGCGTTCGCTTCTCATAAAACTGCATATTTTAGACAGCATTGTCATAAATTAACTTTAGTTTTCGTATAGCAGTACCTGTCAAATTATGCTCATGAGGATAACTAAGTTATTTCTCGGAATCATTTATGAAATGTTTGATAATTGCTTCGGTTCTCCCTAAATCGGTGGCTCCTTTGAGATAAAATGTTAGCTAGACTGACTACTAACCACTTATTATAGACGACGACGAGCGGCGAGCGCTTCTATTCGCTCCACCATTCCCCCCATTCCATTCCATTCCATTCCATTCCATTCCATTCCATTCCATTCCATTCCATTCCACATCTCACCTCACACAGCCTGCCCGAGTACCCGACGCGACACTCGCACTCGAACGTATTGTCCAAGTCGACACATCGCTCCGTTCCCTGAGGACTGCACGGACTCGATGTACACTCGTCGATTTCGGCCTCGCACTGCAAACCGACGAAGCCAGGACGGCAGGAGCAGGTAAATCCTGACGGAGAGGGAAGTGGGTCAGTAATAACGGAAAAGTGCGGAAACAATAGCAATGGCATAAAATAAGAGCGGCATTGTTTTACAAGTAGTGGAAGTTACAGCACAGAAGCAATATTAATAATAGGATATTACAGCGTAGTTACGGTAGAGGTTGCGAATCAGGATAGGGGTATTCATCCGATTGGCTGCTCCATAAATAAATGGTCGAACACGATTGTTTTTATTTATGCGGGACAAATTATGCACAATTGCCCCACGAACATTTGTTAATTTAGCTACACGATTTTCATGAAGACATGGTGATTCTCCTCAGTCTAGTAATCTCACCGTCCTAGTCTTACGAACGTCCCACCGTCCCTCTTACACCATCTCATCGTCCCTCTCACCATCTCATACCATCACACCGTCCCTCTTACCGTTTCCACTCTCTCACCACTATCATCCTCCCGCTCTCACCCCGCCACTCACCATCCTGTTCATCCTTGCAGGTGCCGCCGTTCTGACACGGTTCGCTGGCGCAGTCGTCGATGGTGTGCTGACACCGTTTACCGGTGAAGCCAGGCGCGCAGTTGCAGCTGAACCCGTCCACCTCATCCATACACGTGCTGCCCGAGGCACAGGGCTCCGAGCGACAGTCGTCCACGTTGATGTCGCAAGAGGCGCCTGGAACGCGCAGTCAGTCGTGTTATTTGGTCATCAACGTTATCGGGATAGAATATCATGTATTCGTTAGATAGGGCATCATTTAAAACTATTTTGTATTCCGTTGGTAACATAATGTTATCCCTTGCACATCTTTTGATCGAATACTTTTTTGCTCGTAAGCAGCTCATGCGCAGCTTAGTTACAAAAACCTTTCAAAGAAATGCTCTAATACATGCTGTGCTGTTTATTATAAAGCAATAACGTTAAACTTTCTTAAATAAGCAGACACTACGCATCAAACTCAGTAGAAACACAACTCTCTAACGTTATAAATTTTAACTAGGCAGTGCGGAGACACACCTGCTCTCACAACCATCCATATTCAATGACACACTATTCAATAAACATTACCTATTCATCGAAACTTCACTCACCGGTCCATCCCGGGTCACAGACGCACTGATGTGAGAAGAATCGGTCCACGCACAGACCATTTTCACATGGACTGCCGGCGCACAGGTCAATCTTCCGCTCACAGCGCTTTCCAGCGAACCCTGGCGAGGAGACAGAAGTGTTAGAATAAACTAGACAGGCTTGACGGTTTGTGGTAGATGCAGCGTCGGTGAAACGCTTCCTGTATCACAGTGTGGATGCAAATGAATAATGAACATGCATATCTGAGAGGCATTGGGAAACGTTTCCTTTTGATTAGATTCAAATTTATTCACGCTGTAAGCCACGTGATGCATCCGAAATGAAATACCGATTTTTTATAGCTTCAAGATATACAATTCGTTAGCATGCATCCAAATTTATCGGAGAATGAAGGAACTGAGCTTCCTTTGCTGTTTTTCTCTACATTTTGCATTCCCGGGTCACGTTCTTATTTCCATACGACAGTTAGCGATGAGCCAGCCGCTGAATGCCACTTTCACCTAAACTCAGTAGCGGCGGAACACCCACAATTAAGGAGGGGGCGCACTGCCGACTTTTGGTCCCATTCTTTCCATGCAACGCCCATAGGGCTAATGTTATAATGCCAACATCAAAAGCGGGCACGGTGCCCCGGTGCCCTCCCCGTTCCACCGCCTACGCCTAAACTCACCGGTGGGACAGGCGCACTGGAAGTCGTTCACCAGGTCGGTACACTCCGCTCCCAGCAGGCAGGGCTGTTCAGAGCAGTCATCGGTGTTGACCTCACAGCGGGCACCCGACCAGCCAGGGCCGCATTCGCAGCGGTAACGGCCCTGGGGGGTAAATGGGGAAAAGGTCAAAGGGGTAAAGATCCTGGAGGGTTAGCGGGAAAAGGTCAAAGAGGAAATTATGCCGAGCACCGGCCCTGTAGGGTAAACGGGGTCAAAGGGGGAATGATCCTGGAGGGTAAACGGGAAAAGGTCGAAGAGGTAAGACGTAGTGACTGGTACCGATCTTGGATGGTAAAGAAGTCATAGGTCAAAGGGAGAAATGCTATGGAACGCACAAGAGAAACGTTAGATGGATGATGAAAGGTGCAGAAAGAGTACCACACACCCATCAGTGCAATTGAGTTGCTCGAGGCCCCTTGGAGACGTTTAGATGAAGTTAAGATTAGGATGAAACGAGATGAGATTTGTGAAAATTAATTGAAAATCCAAAAAGCTAATGCTTTTCTCCAATGCGATGCGTAATATAATAGTGCTAAAGTCTGAAGCGAACGATGCCCCCTCAGAACTCTGCGGTGTGCTCCCGAGCTCCGAGAACACACTATACCGCTCCCGGCGTGCTCTCACCTGCTGTAGCGGAACACAGCGAGCACCGTGCTCACACGGGTTGCCTGTCTCCGTGCATGGGTCGACGGTGACGTTACAGCTGGGACCAGTGTACCCCTCGCGGCACAGACACTCGAACTGACCTGCCAAACGAGATGGAAATGAGCGTGATAAAAAACACGAGAATGTCGGTGCGCATAAAAATCAAGACAGCTATTGTGAAAGCAGGAGCAATCAAATTAAAATTAAAGCACAAGAGTAAAATTGAATTGCTACACATAAAAGTCAAAGATGGTTTAAAATAGACTTAAACTAAAACAATATAAATACATGGTCTCGAACGCTAAAATGCAAAAAAAAGACGTCAATCATCGTGCATTTCGTGCAAATTTATTTATCACGTTAGCCATTCTGATCTTATATTTCAATCCAATGCTTTAACAAATTTGCTCAATCTCTCACATTAAAAAATGGTTCAAAAACATGAACGCAAAGTTTGCTACTCGATAGTTCTGCGTTTCCGCGGGGGCGATGAGTACAATTCCATCCGGCGTGGGCCGGGGGGCCCGGGGGTGTAAGGCGCACGTGGCACGTGACGCAGTGCGCGATAGTGCCAACCGCTGCCGCCGTACTAGTTGCCCGGGGAAAGACCGTCGAGAACCGTGCAGTACCAACGACTTCCCGCGGCCGCCCGGGCGCCCCACTTATCAATGTGCAAGCAGCAGAGTGTCGGCCTCGGCGCCTCACTAGAATGGTCTGGCGGTTACGTGAGACGCCAATCAAGTTGGAATGTTCCGAAGCTTCTTAAGTGGAGTGGTTAACCACTTATGTTCAACCTGGGAGCGGACGAATCGTTTGATTTGCAACCTCACAACAGACTGTTGTATCCGCTGACATGTGGCTGATAGTTTAACTCTTGACGGTACTTGCGCTTGAGAGGTCTGGTGCTAGGCTATTAGTTTTTATTCATCGTGTTTCTATTTAATGATTCAGTAATAAAATCAAAATATTGTCACTCTGAGCCTTAGTCCAAATATGTGGACCTTTTAACATATAAAAATTATGTTTTCGAAACAAGTCTGATCTTTGAACTATGTCGTTAAAACAGCCGCTAAACGTGCTATCGCCTTCATGATTTTCGAAAGGCTGTTCCTTTCAAAGGTCTTACTCTCCACAACTGGTACGTATTTATATATTTTTTGGTACTCCAAATTGGCACACGTGTATCTTTAATTGGCACATGAATAATGTTAGCTGATTTTGACGTCTCGACTTCCATAATCCATATCATAAGTTTCCCGCCGTTTCAGTTAACTAATGTCCACTTACCGACTCCGGGCAGATCCATACACATGGCTCGGGCAGGGCAGGCATCCTCCACACAGTCAGACTCCTCAATTTGACAGTTAATTCCCGAGTAACCAGCAGCACACTGGCACCGGTAGCCCTGCAAACAGGTCAGGTCAGGTCAGGTCAGGTCAGGTCAGGTCAGTGCTGACGACACCATTTCAGGTCGGGTCAGGTTGGGCTGAGTAAAACTAGGTCAGATGAAGTGAGAACAGGATAGGTCAGATCAGGGGGCATAAGTATTCAGTATTCAATCATTCATTGAGGCAAATCATTAAGTATACCTACCAGGTCAGGTCAAGTAAGATCAATAAAGGCCAGGGAAGTTCAAAACAAAGTGGGCCAGGACAGATCCGGAGACCGTAAATCAGATTGAGTCAAGCCAGGACAATTAAGGTCAGGTGAGGTCGGTACATGTCAGGGGAGGACCCAATAAGCCAGCTCAGTTTAGGTGAAGTCAAGCCCGGTCAGAACGGACAGAACTAGACAAGACAGAACAGGTTTGGCCCACTCTTAGTCAATTAGTGAAGCACGCCAATTCATGTCCATGTCAAAGCAAGATTGTTAACCGGAGCACGCTAGTCCTGCCCCACTTGAGATACCGTCACACTCACAAGTGAATCCTGTACTCACCCCACCCCACCTGATAAACCGTGTCAAATGCTCGGTACCACCTCGGTAATAGACCGTACTTCCCCTCGACTTACCTGCTGTTGGTCGATGCACGATCCTCCGTTGTAGCACGGGCTCGAGAGGCACTCGTCGACATCGATTTCACAGCGCGCGCCGCTGAAGCCGGCCGGACAGAAGCACTTGGGACGGTGGCCCAGCATCTGGCGGACACAAAATGGGCGTTATGAGACAGTTGGCTAGGTTACCGTATACGGGGGACCGTCAAATATGTCATTTGCGAACTAGAGTTGGAAAATATAACGAACGTTTAACAATAAATGATGCACAATTGTCTAATCGCCTAAAAACAATCATTATCGTCAGATAAACCCCGGTCTAAAAGAGCTCATTTTTATTTCAGCTATCTCGGAATGCAGACCACCATACCAAATCGGTCCAGCTTTTGGTCTGACCCGGCCATTCCCCTTGATCCGACCTAGCTCCCTTCCTATATGACCTGACCAAGCCCCCTACCTGGCTCAACCCGACCTAGAGGCACTTTCACTATCTGACCAAACCCAACCTGACCCCTACCTGACCCAACCCGACCTAACCCCTACTTGACCCAACCCACCCCCATACCTGACCCAACCTAGCCCCCCCCCACCTGACCCTCCCCAGCCCCTACTCTCCCCTATCCCCTCGCGCTCTCTAACCTGGCACAGTCCCCCATGCTCGCAGGTATCCTCAGAGCACGTAACCGGCACACAGTCAGTGGGAGACACGGCACCCTCCGAGCGGGTTGTGTTGCCTGTGGGGCACTCGAAACACGTGTTGGCGCCCTCAATTGGCTGGAAGAAGTTCACAGGGCAGAGGAAGCAGGGCTCCAGACCGTTGGCAGAGTAGCTACCCGGAGCGCACTTGGCTGAAAAAAGCAAAAAGCATCGGTTACCAAATAATGTATGTTATCGGAGGACAGGTGTACCTATTGCTTAGGTACTCCTATTTCTTGTTTTAGCTGTCAGTTGTATTTACGTCCTAGTTATGCATATTTTATCGTAATTGTGTTAACTTTATCATTACTTATTATAACACATTAGTGCCTATAAAAAAATGCCAAAACATGCCACGAACATAATTTGAAATAGTTTATAACGCAATTAAACAATACCGAAATTAGCTCCTAAATTTGTTAAACATGAAGACATTGGCCTGAGTGGATATTTAGGAACATCGTGTAAAGAAAACAACCATTTCTATTATCATCCCTTTTCACCAATACCTAATCTGACGCCAATGGCTTGTTGATCTCACCAATATACGAGTATATACTAACGCCAATAACGCGCCTTCATCTTACCTCGGCAGAGGGACTGATCGTTAGCAGCCTGGGCGTGAGTAAAAGTATCGGGAGGGCAGGAGGAGCACTCCTTGAACCCGTCAACAGGAGGTGCCATGGTGAAGCTGTTCCGGGGACACTCCAGGCAGGGCACCAGACCAGAGGGCGAGTAGGTGCCGTAGCCGCACACGGGAACGCAATCCTAGGGGAGAGAGTGAGGTCAGGTCAGTTGTGGGGAAGGGGGGTAGAGCGGGGTACGTCGTGGATTTGGGGATGGACGTGGTTACTCTTGGATGTACTGAAACAAATGATGATTCCTGGTTTCCGTGGAAAATTTTACAGTTTATTTGTGAAATCACAGTGAAGTTAATAATGAACTTCGTAATCAATACTGAATAATGTATTTCATAAATAATGAACTTCGTTTATTTATTCACAATTCTAAAATTTAAACTCTAAAGTAACTGCATAAAAAAATCACTTAAAAAAATATGAAATACAGTGCAGAAACCATGACCTAAAGCCTCGACTCTAATCCTATCCTCATATCCAGGCCTTGTCATTTGGTACACATTCCTTCCCCTGCCGTTTTCCATCCCGCTCTCTTACCTTGACGCTCTTGCTTCCCTCGTGCCTGGTGTAGGTCCCCGAGGGACAGCTCTTGCAGGCGCCCTGGCGACTTTGGTCTTGGTACTGGCCCATGGGGCACACTGTGCACTCCTCGTCCTCGGTTTTGGCGAATGTTCCGGCAGGGCAGTGCACTGAGGAAGAAAAACAGGTCAAATGAGGTCAAACAGCGCTAGCAGAGGGCAGTACGAATCACAAAAAGTAAAAAAAAAAAAAACGTTTCACTTTCAACAAGCGTTACGGTATTATTTAGCACTTACAATGAATTGTAGTGTAAAATTGTGCACTGAAGATAGCATTTTATGTTTTGTGTTTCGCATTTGGTTGTCCAATTACGATCCATTTATTAATGTCAACGGACCATGATTATGCTTAATGCCAACGCTTAGCACCACGGCTAGGTCGTATGCCCAATCATCAGCATGCTTTGGACTTCCAATAAATGAGGAAATAAGCCCTCGTTTCTCTTTTTCTGCACTCACGGCATCTGGGCACGTTGGTGTTGCTCGACTCCGAGTTGAGAACCTCTCCGGTGGAGCAGGTAAAGCCGCGGGTCACATTGCTATCCAGAGCGCGCATCGGGGGGCACTGGTTACCTGTGAAAGAACGCAGTGTGAGCGGGCTTTAATCGCTGCACATCGGATGACACTGATTGCCTGTGAAGGAACGCGGTGTGAACGGGCTTAAATCACTGCGCATCGGAGGGCACTGCTTACTTGTGGGGAGCGCGGTGTTAACATGCAATAAAGTCGCTGTACATCGTCACATTTTTATACGACACAAATAAAGTCCGACGTTTCTTAGATTTCTTTGAGTATTTCTCGTTCTAATTCAAGCACTGGGTGTCTAGCTAAGCAATATAAGGTTAACTTTAAAGAAAACTGCTTCACATTTTTCGTACGCTTTTGACGATAGACTGGGGAACAGCTCAAATCATAAGAGAAAGACAAAGCTGCAATAATAAAAGAAATACACCCAATTAAACCATAAACGATTCAAAGAACCATGTAAAGCAAAACAATTTAACACGCGCAGTGGAAGGGGGGGGGGGCGGATTTCGCCCACCCCTTCTGTTTTTCGCCAATAACTCGCGCCGCAAGCATAATATCAATGTGAAATTTCGGCTACCTGTCCAGAATTGAATTGCGGATCTTCTCGTGCAAGAAGTAAGAAAATCGGTTCACAACTTTTCTAGTAATAGCGGTGTAAAGTCAAACATCCTGCCGCCGCGGCGGCGCGGCGGCGCGGCGGCCGGCGCTAGCCGTTACGCGCCGCCTGAATTGTAGACTGTGCCGGGGAGGGACGGTTCCGTCTTTACATCGCGCTCCTTACCGCTGATTATATTAGATTCGCATCAAATTCGGTGAGAAGACTGAAAAATGTACAGGCAATCATATGGTCAAAGAATTTTGAAAATCGGCTGGTAACAACTTGAGTTATGAGTGTGTAAACACAAAATTGTGATTGCCGCGTTTCCCGCGTCGGCCGATGCCGCTTCAGCCGGCGACATTTTACCCTTAGCAGGCTTCTAACTGCCATATTTTTTGTTGGATTATCTAGAAATTCACCAATCATACATACTCACAAATGTTTGCTCTTTCGTATAGTGAAAGATTAAATTTGACCTCATTTGACCTTGAAGATATTGACCTAGGGTCATGAAATTCACACTCAACAGAGTTCCCTATGGCCCCCACCTACCCTCCAAATTTCGTCTTTCTAGCTCCAGTGGGAGCTGAGATCATAGGGAGGGGGGGCGACATCTGCCCCCCCCTTCCACTGGGCGTAGTACTCGCAACCCTTCCACTGCGCGTGTTAAAGCTCTAGTTGGCCTGTTTAACGCCGTTTCCACTTCAAGTTCCACTTCCAATCTCCCTGACCCCACCTCCAAAATCTTACCGATGGCATCGACATCGATGAGGGGCTGGATGACCACAGAGGTCGAGGGCACGGCCAGCTCGAAGATGAGTCCCAGGTTCAGGCCGCAGAGATCGTACAGCAGCGGCTGTGACACCTCTGGGGTGATGCGCAGCACGTGCTCCAGCTGCCCAGGGCAGAGACAAAAAATGAGTGAGTGAAAAATAACCCGAATCACATGAGCATTAAAATGCATAGCAATATGTACCTTACAAAACATCCAGCTCGAATTATTACAAACGACTGCAATGTACAGTGTATTTAGGCATGCATTAATTCGTAATGTTATTCCCACTACAAATAAATACAAGGTACATAACAGTTAACAATTTTACGCTATTTCGTTACATTATTCTGAGGTTCCTTTCGTTATTTCGGGGTAAGCTATGCAATAAATATTCCCTTCATCCCCCCACCTATCAGGTACCGTCAAGAGGCATTATTATAAGAATGTGATTACATGATAACTACGTGACTGCATGTTACATGATGCACTACTGCCATTATGTCGGTTATCAACTCACCTCGACCATATTTTCGGCGATCCTCCTGGCGCCTCCGTCCAGAAGCCTGACGTCCATGTTCAGGTTGACGGCCTGAGAGCAGCGCGCTGATAGAACCGAGCTGAGGTCGGCGTGGAACTGCTTCAGCTCCTCCTGTGAGACAATAAAGTGAGACATTAGAGTGAGACATTGTGAGACATTAGTGTGAGAAAGGGTGAGACATTATCAGCGGTGAGACATGAGAGAGGTGAAACATGACAATGGTGAGAAATAATGAGCATAATAAGGCTGCTATTAGCAAGGCGAGACATAAAAGAGGGGCGAGACCTTCATGTGAGGTATTAATAGCGTGATAAAATATCGAAAATGCTGAGGACATAACGAACTATGTGGACAAGGTTTCCAATCGAGCTTATATAATATACGTGTCAACACGCAACCCCCCCAAGCTGCCCCCTCTCCCCACTAACCTTATACATGTTGACACACTCGGGCGCCACGGCGCCGTTGGAGCGGTAGCTGATTCTGGCGCTGACGTCATAGCTGGCCTGCTGGGTGTCTTCAGTAACACAGTCGGGAACCACGCTGGCCGGCTCCCAGGCCTGCTTCGGCTGACAGCCGAACCGCTTGATGTCTTCACCGTCGGTGAAACTGGAAGGTTAGAGGGTTAGAGGTTAGAAGGAGATGTGGTTGGTTAGAGAGGTGAGAGCGTGGTTAATGTTGTCAAAGCTATTCATGTATCTATTTGACTTCGTGAATTCTAGTATTTTCCGTTCGTTTAGGGTGTTCACTTACTAATAAAGAATACTAAAGGAACTGGTTGGAAGTGGAATGATCGGCAGATAGGGCTATAAGCGACTTAAAAATGAACCCCCCAAAATGAAGATGTAGAGCCAGATGAGAAAATAAATGGAATGTGCCCCAGAAGATTTAATAGGCCTAGAGGACCAACAAAAAAGCCCATTCGATAGAATTTATAGAAAAAAGCATCAGCATAGCTTCGAGGGTATACCAACCAGTCCCTCGAGGCCGACGAATGGCAAACTACCAATCGAGTTCTCAGTCCCTACTCAGTCTATGACCTATGAGTACTCAGTCTATGACCTGCATCGCTCACCGGTAACCTTCTTTGCACGTGGCCAGGCAGCGCAGACCACCCGACTCGCTGGGCAGACAGTTGACGTCACCGTTGGCCGGTGCCTTCAGGTCCCAGGCCACGCACGGGGTGGCCTGAACGGCGACCTAGGGGAGGCAGACACAAAATGTCAGAAAAGGGCACTTCAGTGTAGGAAATCCGAGTGCATCGTGCAGTTAATCTTCTTATTTATCATCATCATTATTGTTGAATTGTCTATTTCATTTTTCGTAAGACTGGGCTGGACAATGATGAACTTCTTTTTCATGACCGTTTTATGTAAAAATACATCCTTCAATTATATCTTGATTCACGACGCCGGTTACATAATTCAAAGCAAGCATATCAAATACCTAGCTAATAACCAAATATGATACGGCACCCCCTCAATCAGTGGGCTCCAGAAACCACCACTCACCTGGAAGTGACACTGAGCGCTGTTGCCGGACGCGTCCTTAGCCGTGACCGTGACGTTTTCATAACCTCCGATCGGGATTCGGGCTGCTGAGGGCTCGAACACCACCTGAATGGAATCCGCCTGTGGGAGCAGAAAGGTCGTGACTCGTGATTAGTGAGAATAGTTTAGGACACGCACAACAGAAATAATATTCAGAAAGGAAAATGATGATGCTAAATGGAAACACGGAAACATTCGGAAATGAAAGTTATGATTATTGAAACACATCGAACGTGTAGCACTAGCTCAAGTTCAGAAAATAAGATTATGTTTCACTTTAAGAAAAACAGTGCTGGAAGACGTTGCTTCAACGTATCCTCAGCACTCATGACGTCATCAAATAATGCTTACGTCATCCGTGTCGTCTGAGACGGTGACCTGGCTGCGGGAACGGTTAAAGTTGATCTCATAGAGCTCCTGTTCCTCCACAAGCTCGACCACATAGCTCTGAGGGCACGTGATCCTCGGCGGGGTGTCGTCTGAAAGAAAGATCATCAAGGAAAAGTTAGAAAGTGATTATCAATAAGTCGCACTTTATCCCGAAAGAAAAAAAAAACATATTGTCAAATTTATCAATGAGGAAATTCTCGAGGCTAAGTTGACTGTGAATTACATTCATAAATGAAAGCCAAAAAGAAAGACATTTTAATAGCAGATCGGGTACGAATAGTCTTTGTTCAAACCATTCTTTATATCTGCCCATAACCTTATATCTGCCTATTTATATCTTATAACAGGTAATACTTCATTTCGCCAGGCCAGCAGACCGGTGCTCATCTATTAACTCGGCAATTACGATGTTCAGGTCAAGTCGGGTAGGATCTGATCGCATGCAGGTTTCGTCAGAAAACGGAACTCAGACCAGGACAAGGTAGCGGTCCTTCCTAGTTTCTTACCGGGGACGGTGATGTTCATCTGGCAGATGGCCACGTTGCCGTCAAAGTCGAATGCCAAGTATTCCAGCATCAGATCCCTGAGCACGTGATAGAACAACGTCAGGGGTTATAGTGGTATACCAGTGTCACATGACTTTAAACAATACAGGAGCACAGCTGATATGGCAGAGCCACGTGACATGGCAGGGGCGTAGACTGTAGATGATATAGCAGGGTCACGTGACAGCACCAAAAAGGCAGATGACAACTCACTGACATGACGCGTGTTCAGTGCTAGTGTAATTGTCGTAAGCCTAGTATTTGACTTCTAACCACTCCATTCTAAGCTTAGCGAGCATCCGGGCCGCAAAACCACGCATTCCGCGGTCAGGACTAATTTATCAAAGGAAAAAAAAATACTCCGTTTGTCCTTAATGCCTGACATTTGACAAAACCAATGAACTCTGAATCGAAAATCCATGTAACCTCTATGACCACCTGACCCACACATATAATCAATCGCACAAGACACCTATGTTATAAACTGACCTGAACACATAGACGGGAGGGCTGAATCCGGCCGGGCGCACGTCCGTCCTCACGATCATACCCGAGTTGTCGGTGGCAATGGGCTCGGTGAAATTGACGGGCAGAATCTGGCCGTTCTCGCCCTTGGTGACCTGTTGAATGGGGGAAATAGAGTTAGCTGGTTCATTATCATGTTTGATGTCAGGACCACGGCTTGAGGGAAAAACTTAAGGAAATAAAAATATAAAGGAGAAAATAAGTGACTGGTTTACAGATGAGGGACAGGGATAGGGATAAATGATTAGAGGAAACGGCAGGTGGTAAAAAAGAAATGAAATGGGAATGCATTTTGACGGATGTCGATATGCGAATTGCAATTTTAGTTTGATCCGTAAAATACGACACTAATCGGAGAACACTTAAATTCAACGCAAAAGTCATTCGACAGAGTAAACGATATAGTGAGCTAATTCTGTCGATAACATATCGTTGGGATTTTAATTCTCACCTGGAGCAGTTCGCTGGGACAGTTAACAAACTGGGGAGGCTCAGCGTCCACACACATCGAGTAACCCATGTCGAAACCCAGGAGTGGCTGGGTCTCCTCCACTTCACAGCCCAGCAGCTCGAACTTGAGACACGGATTCTTGTCGTACGAGATAATTCCTGGAGAGAAGACGGCGGGTTATTTTGAGTTGAGGAGCAGAGACACAAACATCTTCAATATATTCATAGCTTATATGTATAGCCACTTTTATATGAGTATAAAACCGCAAGGCAGTACTCTATTCGTCTTTTATGCATAAGCAAAACGTTCATGCCATAAAGAAATGACACATTTAAAGGAAGACTGCCACCTTCAAAAAGTTTTCTCAGATCGGCCTATGATTTATTCCCTGGACAAAACAAAATTTTATAATTCACCTGACAAAGTATCATCACGTGAATCGCGAAAAAAATTGTCGATTATCATGCAATTATCAATCGGTTAATGTCTAGCGACAATGTTTACACATCACTAGACTTCAAGGTCATAAGATTATTACATTTTATTTGAAAAAGTAAGGTATTTTATGATTTACTAATATATGATTTCATAAGAAATTGGCCATGTTTAATTTATTTTGCATTTAAGTTCGTAAAACATTCAAAAATCATGGCTCATTTGGAATGGGTCTGGCCCATGTTAAACCCCATTTCCCACACTTTTTGGAAAAAATGAACTACTGAATATATAAGTTTAACTTTTATTTTGCCACTCCAAAATTCTTCTCTGATCTCGAAACAATCAAAGTTTTGACATATATTTACCAAAAGATAAGAAAATTCATGTTTCAAAGTTATCGATAAACAGTAGAGATGTCGGTTTTCTTGGACTAAAAAAATGGCATCAAACTGAACTTTGATCTCCGATTTCTCGCAAACGGGTTCGAATTTCGGAAAACCGACTTCAGTCTGGGACATAGGTGGCTCAGCTCTAGTGAAAACCGTTTTGTGGAAAAAAGGTGGCAGTCTACCTTTAACCTGGTAAAATACCTGCTTCCGTTCATCAGTTTATATAGCTATGTTTTCATCCAATGACGACTACCATGACCGTCAGAAGTCTTTCCTAAACATTTATATCCAGCCGCCCAGAGTTTATACTAACCGAGGATAACAAATCGGGTTTCCACCGATTCTGGTAGAGTAATCATAGCCAGTTCTCCGTAATTGCCCGGGTCACGAGCGGTCAGGTTAAAGTTGGGGAAGTACACCACGTAGTCTTCGTCCTCGGATCGCTTGTAGAAGAAACGGATCTCGGTGGGACGTCCTACCACGTCATTGGTGACCACGCCCTTCAGCAGAATGGCCTGCGGAGCGAACGCATGGATTGTCAATGTCATTTCAGTCATCGATGACGTCAAACACATACAAAAGTATACAAAACATTGTTAAAACAAAAGTTCCATAACGGCGAATGATAACAAATAACTAAAAATATTTGAAGTTATCATACAAGTGTAGATAAAACCTTTATAGTATGCTAAAATTTGATAAAACGGCTACTCAAAATCAAAAATCCATAAATTTTACATACCTAATTCAACTGAGCTTCGACTATTGATAGATAACCATACCTATGCCAGTTAACCATAACAAATAAGTCATTTGCCAGTACCTTCAATTCCAATAAACCCCATAACTATCCATCACAGATCCCTACACTAGCCCTCTTCTCCTCACCTTAACCCTATGCAGCGTGCCGAGGTCGACCTGGACGTAGGTGAAGGGCTGGTCCAGCTGGCCGCACCAGCCCGTTACAGAGCTGAGGCGCACCTTGTCCGACTCGTAGTTGGCCCGCTGCGTGCTGGCGTTGATGGAGGCCGCTGTGAAGGGGAGAGGGGGTGGTTAGTTAGGGACTGGGGAGAAAGCTGTGGGGACAGTTGGAAAAAGAGACTGTGAAGAATGAACAATCAGCGCGCTAAACATAATATTTGTAAGCAAATTTATCATTGCTTTACAAACCGCGTTTGAAATGGATAATAAATAAATGAATGAATTAATAAATGAAAACGAACCTCAAGTGCATAATTATTCCTCGGCGTTTTAGCTCTTAATTAACAGGCACGTCACCCACTTGGTGAGGGCTAAGAGCGCTGCCCTATGGCGTCCAACTTTACCCTCTTCGACCGTTAACTCCTATACGCGCTATTAAGCCTTTGGTAATTGCTGCTTGGTACACTGCCGTCTATGCTTCCTACCTGGAATTCTGCCGTCCGTGATTCCCAGGGGCCGGATGGTAGCACACTCGGGCTGACGAACACATTCAATCGGCTCTCCCGAGAATGGAATGTAGCCGGGCTTGTTACACGTGAACGACACCTGAAACAGAGAAGTTGGAAGTCAGTACACGAACGAAACCCATTTCACAAATAGGCATGAAACAAGGTGCATGCCAAACATACGTAGAGCGTTCTCTGCGGAAGACCCTACCCGAGATATGAGCCTTGCCCTTGAGCATGAAATACCGAAGGCAATTCGATCGTGATTTACACCAAAGTTCCGCTCGCTCTATAGCCAGTTTATAACAAGGCATACCAGTCCAGTAGCAATAAAGAGCCATGCAAATGATGACATTGTGGCGAAATGTAATTTAATTTCATTCCTTTCTCGGTCTTACCTTGGATCCCTGTTCGTAGCTGGTGGCGATCTGAGCTCCGTCGGCCGGCCGGCCGGGGTCCACACAGACGGGTCCCTCACAGCGCAGGTCGCCAAAGTCCCACGTACCGTCCGCCTGACACCGCACCACGTTATCGTTTGACCTGGAGAGATAGCAAGGTGGTCAGAGGAACGAAAACTACAACAAATTCTGCGAGATAAATCCTTACACAGAACAAGGCAGTTCGACCGCGTATACGTAGATCGTCTTGTCCAGTGTTTCCGACATTACCTAAACGTTCTCGAAGAGATAACGCGATGGAAGACTTGGTGTCATCGGTATACATTTAATTTACAATGCCTTCCTTTGATGCACTACGGGCCAGATGAACTCTAAACGTTCTCCCAAGTAGCGTCCCCTTACGTCTTCCCTGGACATTGCCCCCATCTTTTCTACATACCCCTGTCAAATGACAAATACCATCTAACTCTCAACCAAGCTCTGACTTTTACCGCCCCTTCATACTGTAAACCTTTTCCCTTCCCTCTCTCCCCTACTCACGAGCTCTGTCCGGCCAGGCTGAAGGTGTCTTCACAGCCGAAGAAGAAGCTGCTCTCGTACATGGTATCGGCGTAGTTTCCATAGGACCCTCCGGGGGTGGTGGGAGGCACTCCGCAGTCAATGCGGGGACAGGCGGGAGGAGTGCCGGAGATCCAGTAGTCCGGAGTGCCTGCGGAGGCGAGCGGGGGTCGTTAGATTATTCGAATGGCCTGACAATCGCTTTGACTGGGTGTTGTTGAGGTTACAACACATTTTTATCGTGACTATGGGGCTCACTTTCCGTGTGCTTGAGCTTACCCAAGACAAACAACACAACCCTAAAAATAATAAGCGATGAATTCAGCCTTTCAATGAAGAAAAATTGAGCTGCGTCAAATAGTTTTGTTACCATCTCTCTATCTCCCACTCTGCCCTTTATTCTTTTCCTCTCCCTTCCTTCCTCAACTCCTCCCTCCATCGCTCCCTCCCTCTTGCCTCCCTCCCACTTCTCCCGCTCTCTCTTACCTGGTTTCGGATCATAGACACACTGTCTAAATCCAGCAGTGCGTGTGTTACGCAGCGGTTTTCCGGTCTCTGAGCAGGCGATGGTAATGTTCTCTCTGAACGGCACAGTCAGCTGTTCGGTCTCTTCCTCGTCCTCCTGGTTTGTAAGGGTGACCGAGAGACCCTCGGCAGCGTCACCCTCCAGAGGTGGGCAGGAGGCGTCTGCGGTGGGGAAGAGGACGGTAAATAATTTATGTCGACACGAGTGAACGGACCGACACTTATGAGCACAAAAGAGTCATTTAGCGTAGTGCGAGCGTCCTTTTGTGAAACATCGCTTCTCATGTTTTTGTGAGATCTCACGGCGCTTATTCTGATTGAGTTGACCCGTTCTTATTTATTGTATATTCAATAAAATTTGATGAACCAGTAGCAAATGCTACCTACCAAAAAGTGCATGGAAAAGGAAGTTATGTAATGACTGCTAGCTGTTAGTAGTACTAGTGATGCTGATAGCTTGATGCTGATAATATGCAATGCAATATTCACTTGTAAACTCTCAGTGACCCTTGGCCCACGTGTGACCCGCTTGTGACCCGTAAACTATTTGTGATTTCATTCCCCGTCTTCGACCCCACTCCCCCATCCATAACCCACGCCCCCACACTTACACTCGCAGGTGGGTACCGTTCCGTTCCACTCTCCACTGGAGGTACACTGCAGTGAGCTGGCGCCCTGCAGTACGTAGCCGAAGTTGCAGTAGAATGTGATGACGTCACGGTAATGGTACTGGTCCTGTGGGGCAGAGAGATGACGTCACGGGTCAGATGAGCAAACTGAGAGTCAACGTAAGTTAAAGGGCAGATCGGAAAGCCTGAATGTCTATGCGTGATGACCATTTAGAACAAGGATATTGATAAGCAAAGTAGTGAAATTCAACGAACTTGATATTTGATGGTGTACACAGACAAAACAAAGCATCTAAAGCGTGACTACTGAAAAAATGATGCTGATTATTTGAGACAAACATCGAACAAAATTCGTACCTAAAATCCACATGTCCCCAAAATCGACCACGATCATTCTCAAACGTGTTTGATCACAAGATGTCTTGCGACGATTACTTGACGATGCCACCGATCACAAACCAGGCTTGAGAGTTGAGATTATGAACCACAGATATAAATCGCATACGATAAACCTCCTTTGTCGTAACAGGAACGTAACAGGCTCCGTTCCATAGCCCACATACCTGAGTGGAGACCAGCAGTCCATTAACAGGATCTTCAATACCGGGGCACTGCTTGGGCACGCACGTCTTGTTGATGCGGTAGGTGTCGCCGTCCCTCAGACCGGTCTCTGAAGGAGCCACGGAGAAGCCGGCGGTTCCGTTCTTGGTGAACAGCTCGTATCCTTCCTCGCATTGGCAGGAGAACGACCCGGCACTGATGGTGAGGAGATAGAAGCGCGGTTAGGAGGACGCGTGTATGATTTGGTCAGTTATTGCAGTTACAGTCACAGCTGTCCTCACGTCAACGGGATCGCTCGTCAGAAAAGTTAAAAATGGCACGATTGACGCAAAAACAACAGCTCATCAGCATGGTACATCCATATAACTGTATGCTCTGAATTGCGATTCACGACATCTCACTTTGTATCTAGCAGAATATCCAGGCTCACTTAACGACGTCTTCTAGTCACTTTTAGTGGACAAAGATAGTGAGAACGCGCTTAGTGCTTCAAAACAGTCTTTCTTTTAAAATTAGTTTATCGTACGGATTCTTAGGAAAATACTACCCGCTACACATATCAACACGTTAGAACTCACGAGTTGACGCATTTCTGGTGGCATCCTCCGTTGTTGGTGGCACATTCGTCAATGTCGGTACACTCGGAACGGGAGCAACCCATCAGCTCCATCCGCATGCACGGCGCCACCTGGAAAATACAGGGAGTCGATTTTCAGAACGGCATGAGACATTTCAGACGGCATGAGGCATGAGACGTGACATCAAGATTACCCAAAGCTGAATATCACTCAAAGTTTTTAAACCAAGCAACAATGTGATTCAGATGATAAAAACATTATACGTCTCGACAAAACACTTTCAAATGCCATAAAGACAAAAATGTTGCTTTCGACAATAAGAATGTCGAAGCCAAATAATGCGCACAATTAACAATTTCGACGTAATAAATAGAAATGCCAAGCACTTACACGTCCTACAAAGCATGACTTTCAACTTTTGCATATGATTCTGCCAATTCGATTGCTAAATGAACGTTCAATAGTCGCACTAATTACACCAAGAACACCTCGCTCACCTCATAATCCAGTATGGTGAGCCGCACATATCTGGCCTCCACGGGCGCTGGCATACTGATCACCGACAGCCCAGCTCCAGCCGTACGGAACTCTACGGGTGCCCCGCTACTGGTCTGATACTCCTTCAGTACATCAGTCAGCTCGTTGGTATAGTACAGCCTCAGGCTCTTGGCGTAGGCCACGCTGCGGTCCGGTCGAGATACGGGCTGGATGCGGAAACCGTGGACGACGGTCGGCGCGCGGAGGTCAATCATGACCCAGTTGACCTTGGGGCCCTCCCGGGCGCCGCACCAACCGCCCTCGGCGTTGAGGCGAACAGCCTGGGGGCAGGAAGGTCACATGAGGTCATACGGGGTCATACGAAGGTGTAAGTTCGTGGATTGCGAAGACTTAAGGACAGTGGTCAAAATCATTATCACCGTTCCATGCTTCTATCCTCAGGATACTGAAATCCTTCTCCTCCACACCGCAACCCCCTCCGGGCTGGACAGGCAACTTTATCTCATGCGGGCTGCTCCCTTGGAGCGGCACCGCTGCTCCCTTGGAGCGGCACCGCTGCTCCCGAGGGAGCGCACCCCGTAGCCGGGTGCAGTGAGTGCCTTGGGGCTGGATGGCCTGTCTTCGGACGGGCTCAGCCCCGGCGACTCACTAGGGCGCCTGCCCAGACCAATGTCTCCCCCTATATCCTATCATCCTCCCGGCTCTGAAATGGTCTTACTGGACCGAAAGGGCCTAATCCAACAAAAAAAAAAAAAAAAAATCATTATCAATAACAAAGCAAGGCAAATCGAGTTTCTGGTGGCGAATCTCTTATAATGGCAAGCATAAAACAATTGATCTCGTTGCAATGCCTCACTCTTCCCTTCATGCCTGCTTCAGTCATCGCACTCTTTTACCGTCTTCCTCCCTATTCTTATCTCTCTCCAGTCCCAACCCTCTCATTTCGTTTCTCCTTCCTATTCTTTTCTACATCTCCCGTTCCCCACTCCATTCCCATTCACTCACATTCTTATCATATCCATCCTCGGTCCCGGAGACCGATATATCCCCGTCACTGATGGCCCCACTGCTGACTCCCAGCTCAGCCACAGGCCTGCATTGCAGGTTGGGGGCGAACCCGGGCCGACAGCCGCAGTGGTACGAGCCGGCCGTGTTGGTACAGTTGGTAGAGGCCAGGTCACACTTGGCCGCAGCGCACTCGTTGATGTCTGGAACGTGGGAACGGAACGTGGGCGTTAATTAAAAGTCCAAGTAATGGAAGACAAGCAAGCTAGCAGAAATGGGAAATAAGACGGCCGAAAGGAGACAAAAAAGTTGAAATTATTGCCCGAATCGCAGTTAAATACAGGGTGACACAAAAAAAAAACGGTCATCACCAAATTTCGAATAACTTCGGAAGTTTTATGCAGATCATCACCAAACTTCGGCCACTTAAGGTCACACCTATGTAGCATACATCCACCAAGTTTCAAGTCTTCACTACGAATACTTTTAGTACAGTGTGTGTTTTACTGACGCTCCACAATGTGCTCCAGGTGAGCGCCACGGCGCTGCAGGGCGTAGGCACACTTGCATCCGGCGGGCAAAGTTGTCGATAACCCGATGGCTGTGCACTTTACAGAGTGCAATGGCCTCTGGAGACAGTGCTCAGGGGGTGTGCTACCCCTGAAACGTTATTCTTATCGGGTTATCGGCAACTTTGCCCGCCGGATGCAGGTGTGCCTACGCCCTGCAGCGCCGGGGCGCTCACCTGGAGCACATTGTGGAGCGTCCGTAAAACACACACTGTACTAAAAGTATTCGTAGTGAAGACTTGAAACTTGGTGGATGTCTGCTACATAGGTGTGACCTAAAGTATCCGAAGTTTGGTGATGATCTGAATAAAACTTCCGAAGTTATTCGAATTTTGGTGATGACCGCTTTTTTGTGTCACCCTGTATCACTAGAATAAGCGGTTGTTTAGTGTGCAAGCAATAAAAAACCACAAAGAACGGGATAAAGTTCTTTAGAATAAAGCGGAATGAAGACATTACAACGTTTTTTGCCACTAAAATATATAGGGACGATACGCCTTTAATTAAAACAATTGCCTGTGATTGCCGCATTTACCCACGTCCGTAACATAGGTCACTGTTCCCTACCGTCACTCACCCTGGCACTCTGGTACATTGATGAACTGCTGTTCTGGCCCACATGTGATGACTGCCGAGCCAGTCAGTCGGAAGCCGCGGTAGCACTGCACCGAGGCCTCGTCACCGTAGTAGTACTCGGCGGCGGGAGAGAGAACGTAGCCGTCGGAAATGGTGGGCAGGGCGGGGCACCGCACGCCTGGCGAAACGGGAAGGGAACGGTCAAATGGAGTCGAAATGGGGAGTGAGAGAATTGGCTTCAACAGTGCCGTCTATCTCATGTCTATGTCATGATGGTCACATACAAGCTACTGGCATTTTGCAACTGCTAACGTTTCTGACGTTTCTTTCTAACGTTTTTAACGTTTCGGAAATTAATCTTCTGCCATAATAAAGATCCCTTATAATTCCCCGACATTTAAATACTCTAAGTATTTTTGTGATACGTTTTTCTGAAATAATATGTAAAATGGGGCCAGGAATCTCTGTAGCAAACTCCAAGATTCGTGGGCATCAAACTTACGGGAGCAGCTGGGGACCTCGCTGCTCCAGGTACCGTTGCTCATACAGAAGAGCACCGGGACACCGGAGCGAACATATCCGGGCTCGCACTCGTATCTGAGGACAGAGAGGTTACACATGATTTTACAGACTTAAGAACAGTGATATTATGTAGATGGAAAGTAAAGTGTCATACATATTTTCAGAAGTGACAGAAAATGCTGCAAGTGACAGGGAAGATGAACATGCAGTACGCATAAACTGGTATTGTATTCTTTTTTTCAGAATGAAAACGAAAACCTAGAAATAAAGATTGAAAGCTTTCCTTTTACGCATTAGTTGTGTTTCGCAACGCAAAAATGCATCGTCTTGATAGCCGCAGGACAACTACGTTGTTGCAGAAGGAACACATTGCAGCACCTTTCGCATTGTGCGCAATATGCTACGCAGTTCCTTCCGTGAGCCGCAAATGCGTAGTTATATAATGATCGCATTAATCCCGAAGGCCCTATCGGCTATCAATGTTTACTGGCGCTGCGAATACGCGACTAAAACCGTTTCATCATCGGTAAATATTGAACGTCGGATCAAGATTAATTCATAGAACCGATAAAATGTTCGGCGCTGTTAACCAAACGCCAGACGCAAACATTACGATGTCAATACTTTTACCCGAACATTTGCAATCAAGGGTTGCCTGGACATTTCTAATGAGGAAGAACTGACCTGACAACTGTTCCGTAGCTCCGTCCGCCTCCGTTGAGCTGTTTCTTCTGCGCGAACGGCACGTCCGGCAGGGACGGGCACTGGGAGGCTGAAACGATACGGGGGAGTCTGGTCAGTTGAGCGCACTTCTCTTTCAGATCGATATAGACGGTCAGTTCCTTAGTCTTATCCAGACAGACGAGCAGTTTTACCCACTCCTTACCCAGAAAAGCTGGTAGTTTCGAAATTTCCTACCCAGACAGACGGGCAGCTTACCCCAATTTCCCCACTCTTATCCAGAGAGACGGGCAGCTTACCCCAGTTGCCCTGTCTATTTCCCCAGTTCCCCCAATTTTCCCCCAGTCCTTACCCAGGCAGACAGGCAGCTTGCCCCAGTTGCCGTCGGCCGAGCAGCTGATGGTCTCCAGGGGCTGGCCGGACGGGAACGCGAACCCGGCATAGCACTGGTACGTGATCTCTCCGCGGAAAGTGACGTTGGTGGCGCCGATGGAGAAGCCGTTGTCGATTTGGGGCACCGGGCCACAGTACACCTCTGTGGGAGTCAATAGTGGTAAAGTATTATTGGGACACATAGGAGGGAATGATAGTGACACGAGTTAAATGCAAGAACGGTTTGGTTCCTATAGCTCGGTCAGAAATAAGCGTGGTTAAATGACATTCATATATGTTTGAATTGTTAGATTTTTTTTTACGAATGTGCGTAAATCAGAGGCCTCGTAGGAAGCACTGCATATTGCTGAGGGAATAGATGAGGGAATAGAATAACTTCGCCAGTAACAAATAATGCCTCTTCTTGACAGAGCAAAATACACATCACGTTACACTTTATGAGAACCTTACCCAAACAGCCGTAATCGCCACGCCATATGTGGAAGGCTTTTGACGTCAATACATAAAACATACAATACATACATGCAACCTATCGCCATCAAAAATGACTCATCCATATCATATGCGCTATATTTAAAATAAATATAAAAGCACACTTACCCTGGCAGTCTGGGATATAGCTGACAGTCCATTTGCCACCTGGCAAACACTCGGTCATGATCTTGGACTTGCCGGTGGCAAACTCCTGCCCGGCCGGGCAAGTGAAGGTCACCCGGGTGCCGAAGATGGTCTCACGGCTCGTACCGATGGCTCCCTTACCGGGCTCCAGCATCGGGCAGTCTGTAGAGGAGAGATGTAGAGGGTTGGTTATGTAAGAGCTGGCTGGAAGGGGATGTAGTTGAGGCGAGTCGCTGATAGGCATTGAAGCGTGAGCTCAATGTCGTAATCAATCGCAGCAAATTATAATGATTATCGAGACAGGGCAGGGCGTTGTTGAGGTCTAAACCATTTTTCCTTTTTATCAAATCAAATTATAATAACATGTACTTTCAGATCATGCATATTATACTCTTTGCTACTGTTGGCATTTCCCGATTCCTCCGCCCAAAGGTATAATGAAAATGATCATATCTAGCATAATGATCCTAAAACATGTGTATCAAATAACCTAGTTTCAGTCTAACTTCTAAATTTCAATCAACCTTTCATCATCTAATGATTATCTAACTCCCTCACCTGACGAGAACACGGCCTGGAATCCCTTGGCCGTTTTCAGCGGGTCCGAGTTAAACCTGACCAGCATCTGCCCCGACTGGGCTGTCAGTGTCAGCTGGGGCGGCGAGGGACCGGTGAATCCGTCACCGGAGTGGAGGCGGAGACTGGAGCTGTCCGGGCCGTCATATACCTGAAAATAAAATATAAACAGCGTGATAAATAGCACAATTTTATGGAATAAATAGTGTAAGAAACGTCAGTGGATCAACCATAAGGCAAAATATAATAAATAAGAGTATAACACCAGAGTTAGTGTCATTTATTACCTACACTATGGAATAACGACCTAAAGGGTGCAAAATGTCGGAGAGAGCACGACAGCATGGATCATAGGGCGACGGATAATAGAGGAGTCAATGAACCAATATCGTTCGCCGTAAAAATGACGAAATGACGAAATGACGCCCAAACCTATATATGGACGCCACAGTCACTCAAGGAAACGGGGGGGGGGGGGGGGGGGGGGTTGAGGGCAGCACAAACTACGAAAAGCGATCGCCCCGTTCCGTTCAATTTTGGGGTGCCTTACTTTTGTCCACGAATCGACGGGGTGGGCAGATACTAACGCCATCTGTGCCCAACAGCTAACTTTGCCGCCTAACGCCAGATGGCAGGCAGGTCGGAGAATGAGACCGTTCGAGTCATCGGGGCCCGATTGTGGGTAAATAAGTGATAACCTCGGTCGTCGACATCCGTCCTCACCATCCTCAAGACAAACCCATCCGCATCCCCCTCCCACTCCCCTTTCCCGGCTGGCGGTCACCCCAACCGACATCCGGCATGTACCAGGACCCGTTAAAATCCTCTCTGGGGTGACCGTTTGGGAAGCGGGAGGACTGCCCAACACGGGACCATCAGGTCCCACCAGGGCAGTCTCGCCGCTGCAACTCACTGTCGGTGTCCCGCACAGCCCAATATCTCCGCCCTATCCTATCATCCCATAGCTCTGCTATGGCCGAAAGAGCTTGCTCCCAACAAAACAATCAAATCGTTCGTAGAGTAGAATGACTGAAATCGGTGGCTCATCATACACAAATAACTTTGAAAGATCGGAGACCAGTTTCCTCCTCACTCACTCCCTCCCTCACTCTCTCTCTCTCTCTCTCTCTCTCTCTCTCTCTCTCTCTCTCTCTCTCTCCCTCTCTCTCCCTCTCTCTCTACCCCTCTCTTCCCGAGTAGACTAACCTGTACAGCGTCCGTCTCATCCAGGTTGAGATGTGTGAAGCGCAGACTGAGCGGACCCCCGGCAGGACGCTGGATCAGGTAGTCACACTGTAGGTTGGTCGGATAGTCGGCCAAACCGTACACAGGCGAGTACAGACTGCCGTTGTCTGCCTTCAGGGTCACGTCACAGCCTGCGGAGAAAAGTTAGAGCGTGAGATTGGCTTGGTAGGTCATACAACATTGCCTGATTCATACAGCATGTAAGATGGCAATAAATAATATAAAATGATACATATGTCGTACAATTTATACTGGATAGCTAACACACTCGGGCCATCGAATGGCTAAGATATTCTAAAATGTCCTTAGTTATAGTGAAAATGGCTATCCCCAGTGTTATAAAATTATCCGACATTACCTATTACTTAGAGAACAACTGAGGTTATTCTGTCCAAGGCACAAACCATATACCTGTTATAGAGAATCATACACCCCAAGATTGTCAAAAGGCAATGTCGCGACACCTGCCAGCTCAACAATCTAATCATGACAACAAAAAAACTAGTAGGTATTCTCGTCATGGATTATGGATGGCATTTTATAGTCTTCCTTTTATTATAGTATTTCCTTTCCGTTATGGTCCCATCTTCCCACATCAACTCCTCATCTTGCACCGTACCTGCTCTGTACTTGATGCTGAAGCCCCTGCGGCTGTTGCCCAGGTCGGTCCTGACGTAGAGGTAGAGGATGTTTCCCGTGGAGGAGATGAACCGCCTCTCGGGGGCAGCGCCGGTCAGCCACGCCAGCTGACGGTCGTCCGGACTCGGTCCGTCACGGATACGGATGTAGTCGTTACCGGCCTCCAGGTCGAGGTCTTCGATCTGGGGAGAGAGGGTAGGGGAGGAGTTAGAAGGGAACGATTGGGGGAGGTGATAGCTTAAAGATTGCGTTGAAAAAAAAATGGACATCGATGGTTATGTTTAACACATACAATGACAGCCTTTGCTACGTCACTGCCTACGTTTAATACCAACTAAGGATTAGATCAAATAAGTTATGAACACTACGGACCACATGGACAATGGTTGCACATGGTTATTTTATTCAAGAGCAAAAGCGTGTGACGTTCAAAAATTGTTCTGTTGAAAGGAGTTCAGATCTCTGTATAGAAGAAAACAAACATTTGAAGAAGACTAAGCAGATCACTTTTCTAAACTCCGGCGCCATTAAAATTTACACTTCTATGATCGATCCTGTGTAAGTTTGCTCCATACCTGCAGTGTGATAATCTGTCCGAGTGGCGCTCTGATGATATAGAGACACTCGAGACCCCCGGGGTAGTTCTCCGGGTAGCCGGGAGAGGTCAGGCGCTGGGGGGAGGCCGGAGCCACCAGGTCACCGCCGCACTGCTGAGGCTCCGACTTCCACGACGCCCTGAGGTCAGAGAGGTCAACGGGGTCAGCAGAGGTTAACGGAGTTCAACACAAGAGGTCAACAGAGAGCAACCGGGTTCAGTGGAGGTCAGCATACGTAAGAAGAGGTCAGCATAGTTCAACAATGACAAATAACCAGAAATGCAAGCACTTACATTATCAAGTTATCTTATCTTAATTTCCAACAAAAGCGGGACGTCTTCCGCGAAGGAGTTTGCAGGAGTTATGGATGAGTCATTGCAAACCAAGAGACAATCATTTCAAGACTTAAAACTCACCTGAAGCCAGACTTCTCCACGCTGGCGTCACTCCTGAACTTGATGATCATGAAATTGGACGCAGAGGTGAAGAGCTTAGAGGCGAGGTCCTCCTGGCCGCTCAGGGTCATGATGTTGACGGCAGACTCCTCGGTGGCACCTCCGCTTAGGATCTGGGCGGTGTCAAAGTCCTTTTCCGTGTCGAAAGCAGAAAACTGCGGCGGAAGAAAAATAGTGATGAGTCAGAGGCGGACTGTGTGTTGGGAAAACGAAACACACCCATATAGGGAATGATCAATCTTAAACATTCTAGTTTTACTTTCAATAATGCATTTTATGTTTTAATACTTAACAAGCCATAGGCTATGTTGCTTTATTAAAAGCATCCTGGATTAGGCAAAGCTTCGATAATGTCATTAAAACAATTGACACTTATTCATTCAGAAGGCATCATCAAAGTATTGTAATAATTAAGTTTGTCACTTTTGTTAGATGTAAAAATGTATTATGCGCGACTGACCTGCAGTGTAATCCTGTGTCCAACAGGTGCCTCCAGGGTCCATTTGCACTCGCGGTTGGCCGGATACCTTTCCGGATATCCAGGAGACTCGATGGTACCAGACGACGAGCGCTGGTACTCTGTAATAAAACAGCCAGTCACACCTGAGACATAAAATGCGGATCAACTGGACTAGGTGAGCCAGTGTCGCCAGTGTTACGGCTATTTTTGTATTATGTAATCAGTGATGGTTGCGTTCCCAGGCGATGGGTAGCTGGCGATTGCCGCATCAGCCATTGATGTGTTTTCCATTTGAAGTTTCCTCGATACTTTTCTGAGATGGGTGAAATGATGGTTTTCCTGGAGTGATTGTCGTGTGGATTGTTTATGGCAGAGCGTTCACTAAGTGGGTAGATGCAGCCGGACTGTCACTTGTGGTTTCGAATTATGAATTGAATCAGAAGTGGAATTATGAATTGACATCCTGAGACAGAGGGCTCTCAATGATCTTCTAACACACAGTCTTCACCATATAAAAGATAAGAGTCATATATGTTTTGACAGACTTGTCATACGTGCTATGAGAGTCCTCGCGGTAACACTTCAAGCTGTCATCTATATCCTGACAGTCCTCATCGTAACACTGGCAAGTGTCTTGTCCTCACTGATGACACTTGTCATGTCTCTATAGGTCCTCACAGTTGCTTACCGTGACAGGGCGTAGTATCCTGACAGTCGCTCTCATCACTCATATCACCACAATCATCTTCGCCGTCGCACTTGAAGGCGCCATTGACGCAGTTGCCGTTAGCGCAGTGGAAGTGTCCTGGGAGCAAAGGCAAACATGAGTCAGGAACTGCAGTCCTTTTTTACCTTTCATGAGGATACATCACACGGTACCTACTTCCGGTACGAAAATGGGTCACGGTGTTGAAGGAAAACATTTGTTACTGTCGGTACAGAAGAGTAAATGTCATAAATATAGTAGCATCTTTGCTGGTTACATTAAACGTATATTTGATGATAATCTAGGTAACATCACTTATATCGAAGCAGAACATGAGCAAGAACAGGATACAACACGGAAACAAGTAACGCTTTAGCTCAATGCACACATGTCAGTCCAGTCATTTTTACCTGCAAGTTTACGAGAGCGGAAAATCGGGAGGTGCTAAAATTTCACTAGAAACTATAACACGAAGGAAACTCGTGCAGCATGATTAAAAACGGCTGCATCCGATGCTCCTCTGCAACACGACTTGCATGCATGTCCATACGGGCCACCGAGCCGTTATTCCGTGCTGAAATCTCACCCTTGAGGCAGGCGGTGGCACGGCACATGAATGGTAGCAGCTGTTCGCAGGTGGTTAGGGCCCAGCTTTGTTCTGAGTCTGTGAACCTGGCCCGAACACACTCGCCAAGTTCGGCACGCGGGTTACCCTGCCGGAGAAGGGAGAAGTCAAGACGAAGAAGAAGTCAAGAAAAGTCAAGATGGGGAAATCCAAGCTCAATGATGGTAAAGTTAAGCTCCTAAACCTTTTAGTTAGAAACACATTTCATGATAACTTCAGAAAAAATCACAGTTCCCGCGTATTGAGCTCAGCAACAGCGATCAGCGTGAAAGCGAACAAAATAAATGTGTAGTTACCACTTACCAGCATCATAAAAGCGTATAAAACAATTTGTGTTTACTACCAGTTTGCGACAGCTTAACTTTCGCCAGTGCTTTCGAATCCCATAAACGACACTTTGTAAAAGCAGGCGCCGTCTCCAAATCCCTCATGAGTTGGTCTCTGAGCCTTGGTGAGATCGTCCGGCGGCTCAAAATCCCCGCTGGTTATGAGCTCGAGACATTGAGCTGACGTTGAGCCACCGTCAAGCCACCCCAAAGCCTTTGAGCCGCCAGCAAGCCACTCACCCGGTCCCAAAAGCCGATATACTGGCTCTGCAGAGTGCCGGCCGCTGTCTCCAAACTGTTGGTGCTGAGGTCGTCCAGAGTTCGGAAACCCAGCCAGTAGCGATCTCGGTCGCCATCTTCGGCGTTCTCGTCAGCTAGATGTCGGGTGAAGTTGTTCTGGTCGTAGGTTTGAACGACGACTAGATGAGAGCCATATCTGGAACGCAAGAATGGGGTGTGTCAAGGCTGGGTGTGTCACTTTGCAGGTCACTCGTGCAGGGGGAAGGGATGGCAGTATAGCAGCTGACTAAAGACCGCTGACTTTTCAAGTCAATTACCTAGATGAAACACTGGCTGGCTTTTGTTTGACTTCGTTGTCTCATTAACATTCTACGCCGTCAACAATACCAACAATATCAATGCCTTATGTCAGCCGTATCTGAGAAGCTTTTGTCTCGTAAGTGACAGTCATTCCTCAATGTTGCCATTAGAGCTGCGATGACGCTGAAAAATGCGCAGCTGTACCGTTTATCATATGCATTGGACGATCTTAAAAACGCATCGTTCTGGGTGTGATGCTCAAACAGGGGTCGGTAACTCTACATCAGCTAAGCAATAACACTGTTGATTTTATATAAAATTTATTTATATATGTTTTATCTTTAAGTTGTTTACTTCACACGCAAAGCCCCATTTTCACCGTAATCCGTGATTTCCCGATTTTGGCCAAACCACAGCTCAGGTGCCATATAGGCCAGCCGTCTCGCGTTGTGCACATCACGGGACCAGCGGCCGGGCCCACCTCCCCACGGTGGCTGCCGCGGCGGCGGGCGCGGCCGCCGCGGTCACGTGACCGACTCCGGTACCATCCGGCGCCAGGCGACCCACGTGACGTCATCTGAGAGCCTCAGGGTCGGCGACTTCCGTCTGCTGACCAGCCCAGGGCCGCCGGCCGGCTGGTGACGCCCACTCGCCCACCCCTTCTCTCGAGTGGAATGGAATGGAAAGGCCGGTGCTCAGGTATGATCAAGATTGACTGAAACGTCTTTTTTTTGTTGGGTTAGGCCCTTTCGGTCGACAAGACCATTGCAGAGCCGGAAGGATGATAGGAATTAGGGGGAGACATTGGTCTGGGCAGGCACCCTAGTGAGTCGCCGGGGCTGAGCCCGTCCAGAGGACAGGCCGCCCAGCCCCAAGGCACTCACTGCACCCGGCTACGGGGTGCGCTCCCTCAGGAGCAGCGGTGCCGCTCCAAGGGAGCAGCCCGCATGAGATAAAGTTGCCTGTCCAGCCCGGAGGGGGTTGCGGCGTGGAGGAGAAGGATTTCAGTATCTTGAGGATAGAAGCACGGATAGGTGAGGACTGAAACGTCGTGAAAAATTAACTTTGAGGCTTCGAGCAGTGGGGCTTCGATTGACGTTGAGTAGGCACTGCGTTACGTCGGAAACAATATTTAGGCGCTCTTGACCAAGCGATCAGAAAAAAATCATCAAATTGAGGGTTCGAGGGGACATAAAAAAATTGAAGATCTGTCCGATGGCACTCGAACTCATAGTCCTTCAAAGGATGCCTTTGGTGCTGTTTATTACGTAATCGCTATTAAAAATGTCAATCATTTTGTCATATTAAAACACTCCAGGGCTCTAGCGCAATAAATACCTACGTTCCCGATGGATATTTAAAACGTTCCCAAAACATTTGCCCATGTGAAATATTGACATAACTTTCAGGAGAGAAGCTAAATGCCCAATCCCTGTGTAACCTTTTCCGATCAAATCCCAATGCGGCTCGCTCTCCAACACTACGAAATCTCTCTGAAAGCACTCTCATGCACTCTCATCGCCTCGGGCACGGGCCCGGGGCTCCGATTGAACTCTCGTTCGGTCTCGATTGGCTCTGTCCCTCCCACGAATTCGTGCACGCCGGTCCGTTTCTCTCCTAGCTAGCTTCTCACGCCTCCTCTCGACTGTGGAGGCCCGGAATGGGGTCAGCTCGAGATAGACGGCGGCACGGCGCTGCTGCCATGACCTGACACGCACAAGAAAGGCCAGCTTTCGCGCGAGGCAGCAGCCGAGCGTAAAAAGGTTGGATAGCTATGAGCAAACAGAAATAAATAAATAGTGAAATGACACAACGATATGTAATGGATAAATGGATAACAACCTCCCAATGATTTCCCCTTGGGCCATGTAGGCATAATAAAGATCGTACCTAATCGTATTCTAAAACATCAGACTCACACCATTACCGAGCAAAAACTATGGCGGCTGCATGCAAAAACATCCTCGCGACCCCTCACGTCTCTCTAATCTCACCGGTGCCTACTCAGAACCCGGCGAGACGTCTCACATTCCGTCCGCCAGAGGCGCCACCATCGGAGGCATCTCTCCTACCCGGCTGGGTCAGCGGTGTTCGTCCGTGGTCCGACTGCAGCGAGCGCCCCCGGTCCACCTCACCGTTATAGCCGGGGTCCAGAGCTGGCAGCGAGCCAACGTCGACCGGCGCACAGTGGGTAACACCGGCGCAGACGAGCGAAGACGAGCGATTTGCTGGGCTGGTGGGTAGTCCGGAGTGAAAAAGGTTGGACTGAACAAAGTGCCGAAGTATGTACGAAAGTCACTATCAGCTGAATATGTCAGACATGAGGAAAGATGACGTGTTTGGTGTGGTGTAAAAATGATTATCTGCGCATGCATCACAAAAACAATTACCGAACTCAGCATGTTATGTAATGTGTGTCAGTAGACAACTGATCATTGATATGAGCTTAGCTGAAATTAGCACAACGCTAGCTAAACCGGGGCTTCGTGAATCCTGCAACGCATTTCATTGCATTGTGTTTGTAATTTGCCAAGTATGAATCGGCGGTTCCTACCAACTTGCGTGCTGTTTTCGTGTGGTTGATGCAGCCTGATAGATTCGGTCGTGTGTTTGGACGCGAACCGGCCCATGCTTTATAAATGGACAGTCGAGCATGACTCACCCCTGGATGCTGACGATATTGCTTTTAGGGGCGAGGCCAAACATTCTTGGAATATCGTATGGATTGCAGAACCTTTATTAACCCGCGCCCTGCTGGGGGGGGGGGTGTTTGAACACCCCCCCTTGTGGTTTTTCGCGAATATCTCAAAAACGGCGGCGCGGAGCGCCGCCGTTTTTGGTACACCTTATCATACATCAATTCTACACATGTTGTTAAAATTTCAGACCAAGGTCATTCAAGGTCAGGTCACCAGGTCACTTGAAGTGACCTCACCTCATAAAAAGTTTCAATGTCTGTCATAGCTACACCGAGTGACCGATCGCTTTGAAACTTTCAGCGATTGATAAGAGCAATAGTATGTACAAAATGTATATCTCAGAATTTTGATATCGATGACCTAAGGTCAGGTCAATTTTGCGACCTCCCCATTATAAGTCAATGGGAGAAAATTGAAATGCGCCTCTTTTGGACGAAAGACATTATAAACACTCCCAAACACTGAATTACAAGTGGTTTAGACACACTGAACATGAAATTGGTGTCTGTGACCCCTGTTCATGCCCTGAGGTCATCTTAGGTCACGAATGGTATCGAACAGTTTTTCGCAAATAACTTTTGATAGAGGCATGCTAGAGCGATGAAAACGCCTTAGATGTGTTCAGCTCGACGATACGGATCGACTGATATGCAACATGACCCTTTCCGGTCAGGTCATGACCTTGACCTGAGGTCAAATTTTCAAGTTGACCTTTCAAGGTCAAGTTATAGTTCATTCGATGCGTCATGACGAGAGGAACACGATGCCGGTAAAAGTAAGCTCGTACAATGCTTGGGTCAAAAGTTATTGCAGAAAAACTGTTTCCGAAAAAATCGGCTATTTTTGCAGTTTTTGCCCCCTGCAGGCAAAACCGTTGACGCTAGGTCAAATCTGAGAGAATTACTCAGAAAGGGCGTTAATAGGGCTATCCAATGCGCTTTTCCGCAGCGCTGTAGCTCTATTGGTTCCCGTGTTATGCGTTGGCTTATTGGAAATTTTCGACATTCGACCTGGAAATCGGCGAAATTTTGCCTTCAATGACCTCTGGTGACCTGACCTTTGACCTGACCAAAAAATTGACCGAAGTGATTTCCTCATTATTTTTGACGCTCTTTCGAACGCCGCCTTCCGCGTATCGCTACGTGGCCCAGGAGCCGAGTTAGAAGGGGGGTGTTCAAACACCCCCCCCCAGCAGGGCGTGGAAATCCAGAACCCCCAGCCGGGCGCGGGTTAAGAGACAAATGGACAATAAGGAGGCTTTTCAAAGTTCAGAAGTGTTGATATGTTCAAAGTTCAAAGTTCAGTTTGAACATTGAAAACCCTGTTAACGCAAATAATGAAGAGCTGTTGGAGAATATTGAGGCAAACTTCTGACTTCATGAACCACGATGCACCTATTGGATATGTATCAGACATCGGCATTTTCCCTACAAAAAAGACACGTAGCCCGCACGCATCCTTTACAATACTCTGAAAACTCAGCCCTACTTCCTCAAACAAAAAAAAGCGCCGTTCCTGCCATCAACATTGCATTCCAACAAACAACTCTCATGACTGGCCACAACAACCGTGCACCGTCCACCGCCGAACCAACTCCATTCCGTGAGAATCCAGCCAATCACACAGGCGGCAGTGTCCGGAAAATTGTGTGAAGCCCGCCGCGTTCCCGCATCGGTGACCGTCTGCCCGCCGTCACCCGTTGTAGAGAGGACACAACGGTATTGGTCGGGACATGAGGCACGGACAGGCTACTCAGCTGTCGTGAGGCCCGTGGCGATTGAGGTCGATGCTGTGCTGATTCACAGGGTTCAAGTGATTCACATAATTCGGAACATACCAGCAATCTGAGTAAATTTTATTAGTGGGGATTTTGTAAAATGATTTTATGTTTTAATAATTTGGTGTGTGAAATACTTCAATGTTGCGAGCCTTGTGACTTTAGGAAGCCAAGAGTTCAGAGGTCATCCGTGGCTGTTACGTTTAATATGGGTAGGCATGCGTCACTCTATGTATATCTTCTTTTATTTTCAGTATGGATTGTACTGTATAGACTGTAGACTGTATAGACAGTATAGTATATTTATTCTCGCTGCTTTATTTTATATTCTTAACAAAAATAATGACAGCGATCGAAAGGGATCCGCGGAACCTCTGATAAACTTCAACGAGTAGTGCTATCACCAAAATCCACAGTGAC